AGCACTACTGGTTAGCACCTATCATCGCCTCAACCTGTAGATAATAAGACCCTGCGATGCGCGTGTGGTCTTGTGTGTTTATACACGGCCAACAAACACGTGTCATTCAACCCCCAAGCCCCCAAAGGCGGAGATAAAGGGATAGGAGATAGCCGACTCAGCTACCGTTCACTGGGGATGGCAACCAACCTGCAGTCCGGCCTTTGCACTGTGCGATCGTGGTCCTTTGCCGTTGGCATCCTTAGGCGCGGCCTTTCCACCTCCCACGGACTTTCCTTTGCCTCCTGGCATGGCTGTATCCTTGTCTTTATCGTCGTGTGAAAACGGAAAAAAGGCGATGCTAGTGGTGTTATGGCGCGTCGGAAGCTGGAGTGCCTTTGGATGGGCGGGGGAGGGTGCGAGCAAGTGTTGTGGTGTTTCGCGTGTATTTCTTCTTCTGCTGCCTGGCAGGGTTAAGTTGGAGGGTTTTGGAGGGATAAAGATGTTAAGTAAGGTAAGTTTATCTTCCCTCAAGTGGACGGTCGGTCGATGTTGGTCATAGCGTGGGCCCTTTTTATTTTTTTTTGTTTTTTATTTTTTTCCCTTTTTCTTGCTTGCAAAAGAAGGGGCGCTAGTCCGTATTGGGACAGACGGTTGTCGCTGGGCGAAGAGGCAGTGAAGGCGGAGGGTGCGAAGGGGAAGAAGCAGTGGCGGGCGGCGGTAAGGTCGGTGACGGTGAGGACGGCACGGCGTAGGGCGAGCCTGTCACTGCCAGGGTTAGCGGTCCGTGGCCACTTGGTAGCGATGCTGCCAGCGTTAGTGGTGGTGGTGGTGGTTAGTAGTTAGGTTAGATAGAGGCCATCTTGCGAGCATGTCCAACATCATATATAGAGCGTAGGTAGTCACTCTAGCCGGGGAGGAAGCCTTGGGAGCCGCTCTCTCTTGCACGCGGGCCTCTCTCCGGCCGTCGATGCATCTTCGCTCCAAGCATCTTTGCCCTCCCCGTCTCCATCTCGGCCTCTATCTTCTCCTTCTGCTGTGCGCTTCTTCCTCTTCTCTTGTCGAAGTTCCAGCGAAGGAGTTGATATCAGGTTATGTAATACTAGTCACGTGATATATAGCTTTGGTGGCCGCATGGGAAACTTTTCAGCGCCCTTTTTCTCGTTTAGCACGGAAGGAAGAATAAATCTCACAGCCTTGGGATCGCAGCATCGTCTCTCAACTCTCCGTCCGCTTTTCTCTCCGTCTTGCTTTGCCGCTGTTTGCAGTCTCTGGTTGTGCCTCTGTTCATCATGGCGTTCTCAGTACTTAATCCCCAAATGTGAGACCCCCCTTATCACAACTTGACCAGATAGACAAAACGCCCGCGTGCGCATCAAGAGATACCCCTGGAGAAGCCGGAACAGCCGAGAAAGACATGCTAACAGCTCGCCGATAGAACCAACCTCGCCATCATCCTGGTTATGATGCAGGTGTCGAAGAAGATCCCCTTCGATAACCCAGATGTCCTCCTCGGCGTCCGCACCATGTACATTGCCTCCAACATCGCCATTGCCGCACTGTACTACTACATCTACACCGTCGTTATCCAGAAGAAAGGTACGCCAAACCGACTTCCCGGCCTACTCTTATGGTTAACTCACCCACTAACGCAAACAAAACAAATTCAGATCTTAAAACACTCAAATACGTCGAGCCCCCAGCCATGGGTTCCCAGGATGAACCCCGTCCCGTCGTCACCACCGTCCAGGAATACGACAAGCAACAGCTCCGCGCCGCCCTCAAGTCTCAGCTCATGGGTGTCGGAATGATGGCCGTCATGCACCTATACTTCAAGTACACCAACCCATTGCTCATGCAGTCCATCATCCCTATCAAGAGCGCCCTGGAGAGCAACATCGTCAAGGTCCATTTGTTCGGCGTTCCTGCCAAGGGTGACTTGGAGAGACCATGGAAGGCTGCTGGCGGACTGATGGGCATGGGCCAGCCAGCCGTCAAGACCGACAAGGCCAGCGTTGAGTCTGCCGAGAAGAACTGGAGGGGCGGTGCTAAAGAGGAGTAGAGTGAAAAGAACGATGAGGCGAAACTTTTTCTTCTAAAAACCTTCTTCTTGTCTTGGAGCCGGACCGGGTGGATGAACGGGATAGGGAATTGTGTTATTATGAGGCAATGCTGTTTTCTTCTTCCTTTCTTGCCGGTATTATAACTATTCTTTTTTTTTTTTTCATTTGCTTGCCTACCCTCCTTCATTCTTATCAGTCGTGCGTCCTGTCCTCGGCATGGCGTTGATAACCAAAAGAAACATCACATAGATTCAGTGGAATATATTTTTAATAGAAACGATCTGTATATGCTTGTCTCTTCTGCTTGCCAGACAGTTCATCAATATCTTATCAGGGGCGAGTGTTATCTACCTACCTACCTAGGTACCTAGGTAGGTATGCTTAGTCACTAGCTCCCCTTTTTTCCTTTTTTCTTATTTTGCTTGGTATTAAGGTTTTTGGACGTCAACATCACCAAAGGAGGTGATGGTCTACCTATACTATAACTTGCAGCCATTCAATTCAGTGGAAGCAACATGCTAGAAAATTACCCCCTAGAAGTTTTTCGGACAGTCATATCACACCTTGATGATAGGGCTGATCTCAAAAGCTTGTCCGAGGTATCACGATTTTGGAATGAAGTCACAAATCCGTTTCTCTACAGAAATATCTTCATTTCAACCGAAAGGAAAGACCATGGCATAATCATGGCTCATCAGAGAGCCGGTGTGCTCAAGTATACTAGGGATATTCGAATTTTGTGCGTAACGTCTGAGATTGGGTCTGATGTTTTCGATTTTGACGACTGTTCCCCCTGCAACCATGGCATCAGTCACGATTGTGCCATCGCGGCAGGCGGCGACAATGTGTCTGATGCCGACGATATGAACGGCTGGAATCCTTACCATGGCTTTAGCAATGCCGAGCAAGCGGATAAGGAGCAGTGGATAGATCCTGAGGGTGACCCTTACTTTTATTGTTTCCCGAGCAGGGCTGAATACAGGAAGAGGGTGCTGTGTATTTTGATAAGATGTCGGCCGGGATCATTAAAAAGTTTATGTGAGCAATACCTGTTCCACCTAGTGTAATCGAGAGCTGAAATAGGAATGCGGCATGGAAGCTGGCAGCGGCAGGACTGTATCCCTCCTGAAATCATGGGAGAAGGAGGGTATCTTCCCACGAGACAGACTTTTATAGAGCAGCTCCGTATTAGGGCCTTTAACTTTTGCGATTTTCAATACCCTCAGTTGTTCTCTAGGTTAAAACGCCTGGCAGTAGTTAATACGGATACTGCTGATATTTATATTGGTCGATATTATGACGTAGAGAAGCTTCGAGATTGTCTAAAGCTGAACTGCTGTCAGCTTGACTACCTTGAAATTAGCTGTCTGCATTGGATGGCCTTGACACTACACTATGACGACGAGTACTTCAAGCACTTCACGGAGGTGCTGGTAGAGCCGTGGCCAAATCGTCGGCTTCGGTTCTCGAACGTACAGCACCTCGTACTCGAAGGATACCCATTCGTTAAAGACAAAGCTGGCTTACTGAAGGATATGAATCCTAGGGTATTGCACACCCTGGCATTAAGATCCTGCTCTTTTTGGAAGGATTTTTTATCCTTTTTTAGCTCTACGGAGACCCCTTTTCATCTACGGACGCTAGAGGTGCAGACGCCGCCCCCGGATATGGAACAGAGTACGGAGGCGTGTCATAACATAGCAAACTTCATCGAGAAATGCAAACCGCTTGAAAACCTATATATTGCGGTGGAGAATGCATTTGGCCTTGAACGCCTCTGGACATCGTTGCTTCGACATCGAGAGACACTCAAGTCATTTGTTTTCTACTCCGCTTTCGATGAACAAGGAGGCTCCACTCCGTATCATGTGCCGAATCTTTCGTTTAGCCCGCCATACTACAAAGAGGTAGATCCCGAACGGTTAACTTTGAAGCACCTAGATTTGGAGCTTCTTGGGGTCAGCTATAAACCACGATACCTGGTGTGTTTTAACCTTGATTCAATGCTACGAAAAAACACTAATGTGCTGATGTTGTTGTTAGATACCAGCTCTCTCCCCGCTGACTGCCATGGGCAACCTTAAAGTGCTGCATATTCGAGGCTTCTATATACAGCCCGATTACTTCCATTCATTAGAACGCACAGGGAGGCTTGCCTACAAAGCGCATCATCGACGCCGGGTCGAGGCCTTTGACAATTTTGTTCAATGGGCGTTTGGGCCCGAGGGGTTCCGATCGCTGAAGCTGATAGCTCACAGTGGTCCAGTTGAGAAGGGGGGCGGCGAAGTGTTTCTCTGCCCCAAAGTAGGGCCGGATACTGAGCCACCTTTCCCTGGGAGGAACTACCGGCACGTCACCAAGCGTGACCATGTCCAGCATGCCCTACTGCGCAAACACGCCCACGCCTTTAAAGCTTGTCCTTGTCGAGGTGCACCGGAATATTATGGAATATAGGGATACCAGCGATCTTGACATCTGATTCATCTATTTTTCCTACCAATCCATCATCTCTATATTGTATCTCCCACCTGCAGCTTTCAAAGCCCGGGCGCTCTCGGCTCTCCGGCTCTTTCAGCGGATCAACATTCAGCCGACCGGATAAATCTGCCAAATGCAGCAGAGTGTTTTTGCCGCCGAAACTGCAAGTCTTGAAACACAAGATGAAGGAGTGGAAATTCGAATAGATGAAATGAAATACTTTTGGTAGCAGAGGATGAATTGGACCGATCAATTGGTGAGAGAAGCAGGTCAAGAAGAGGCGGCGCAGCCGTAGAAGACAATCGAAGCAGAGAGAAGGGAAGCAAGCCGGGTGGGTAACTAAAACACTAAGTGTTGTCCATGACTACCCGCCCGACCTCCTGTAGCGGGACATCTCGGGAGTTTTCGTCTTCGCCAGGGGGAAAGGAAGCTGTCCGACTGACTCCATATGATCAGCCCGCCATCCATGTCTCAGCGGCCGAAACTAGATGCGTGATGCTGCGGGCGGTTGTTCTCCGACAAGCCAGCCAGACCAGACCAGCATCAAACCAACTCCGTAGGCCTGTGAAGTTACTCTTTCGATGTACATAGATAGCTAGCGCTAAGTACCTGGTTAAGGCTGCCAGGGTTAAGTTTTTGTTGCGTCAGTAACAAGCAAGAGATTGAAAGCAAGTCGGGGCGGAGGCCGAGAGCGCGTTATTTATTACTTGCCCCTCGCCCGCCTCTCGTCCACCTTCTTTCTTCCTCTTCCTTTCTTCTCCCTCTCCTCTTCTCTATTTCACCATCACCATCTCAAGCGTCCTCCGTCTTCTCATCTACAAGCTCGTCTCAAGTCATATCTAGGTAAGATGATCTACCCTGATGTGGTCGTGTTTTGTAGTCGTGGTGGGATACTGACTGCTACCCCGCTATACAGAAACATCCCACCATCATGGTTGTCAAGGTACATAAACACATACAAAAGGACGGCTTTTGCACTGCAGTTCGTCAGGTTAACAGGAGTCCCAGGTCGGAATCAACGGCTTCGGTCGTATTGGCAGAATTGTCTTCCGCAATGCGTGAGTTGAGCCCTCGAAAGTGGGATGGGAATGGGGGATACCTTTGGAGAAAGGCATCTTATCTGACCGTGGTACTATCTATAGCTACGAGAACCCAGACATCGAGGTTGTTGCTGTCAACGACCCCTTCATTGAGACCAAATATGCCGTATGTTTGTCCTTGATGTATTGGTGCATTGAAGTGGTCCACCTGCTAACAACACTAACCAGGAATACATGTTGAAATATGACTCTCAACACGGCCAATTCAAGGATGAGATCAAGCACGACGATAGCGGCCTCATAGTTGGCGGCAAGCACGTCAAGTTTTACGCTGAGCGTGACCCAGCCAACATCCCATGGTCCGAGACTGGTGCTGAGTACATCGTCGAGTCCACCGGTGTCTTCACCACCACCGAGAAGGCCAGCGCTCACTTGAAGGGAGGTGCCAAGAAGGTCATCATCTCTGCTCCCTCTGCCGATGCCCCCATGTTCGTCATGGGTGTCAACGAGGAGAACTACAAGTCCGACATGCCTGTCATCTCCAACGCTTCATGCACCACCAACTGCCTTGCTCCCCTCGCCAAGGTTGTCCACAAGAACTGGGGTCTCAAGGAAGGTTTGATGACCACCATCCACTCCTACACTGCCACCCAGAAGACCGTCGATGGTCCCTCCGGCAAGGACTGGCGTGGTGGCCGTACTGCTGCCCAGAACATCATCCCCAGCAGCACCGGTGCCGCCAAGGCCGTCGGAAAGGTTATCCCAGAGCTCAACGGAAAGCTCACTGGTATGTCCATGCGTGTGCCTACTTCCAACGTCTCCGTCGTCGACTTGACTTGCCGCACCGAGAAGCCAGTCACCTACGACGAGATCAAGAAGGTCATGAAGGCCGCTTCCGAGAACGAGCTCAAGGGTATGTGTTTTTTCCACTTCTTTCATTTCCAATGGGGGTATAACTTGTCTGACTCTCTTGTGGTATAGGTATTCTCGGATACTCTGAGGACGCCATTGTCTCTACTGACATGAACGGCAACCCCAACTCCTCCATCTTCGATGCCGGTGCCGGTATCGCCCTCAACGAGAACTTCATCAAGCTCGTCTCCTGGTACGACAACGAGTGGGGTTACTCCCGCCGTGTTGTTGACCTCATCTGTAAGCGTCCCTCTCCTTTACCTTGCTCATTCTATAAACTAACCTTTTTCTCTCACAGCCTACATCGCCAAGGTTGACAGCAAATAGCAATTAACTGGAAGCTCGGAACAACGGAGCATGCTCTAGTTGGCCCTCTATCTTCCACCTATATTCCACTATCAATATAAACCAACAAAAGTGGATACCTCTCTACCCCAGAAAAGTAAATAAAAAACAAATGTAATTCTCATTGCCTGTGATGGGCTGAATACTCATATGAAAATACAAATATGAAATCAATAACCACTTACCACTGTATCGCGTGTGGACCAACCAGCATGTCTTGATAAAACTTGCCCGTAATGACCCCTGTCTTGGAAATTTCGAAACCAATCGTCTCTTCTTCCCTATCCCCATGGTCAACCTCTTCTCTCTGGCTATTAACCTGATATATCTCCTCTCTTAAGCTGCCCTTAAAACTCATCTTAAAAAACTTCCCTCAAGGGGCACCAGTCCGCCCAAGGGCCATCACGTGAAAAGCTATCTTCATCACGTGACTCTTCTATTTCTTACGGCCAAAAAGTTACTCTCTCAAAGCTTCCATCAAGTTGCTTGACTTGCTCAGTCTTCGTCTTCTTCATCGTCTTCCTCTTCTTCGCCTCAAGCTGCCTATATCTTATACCCTGGAATTGGCAGCTCAGGTGGCTACAGGACACAAGTAGCTCATCCTCTATGTGCATCTGCCACTGCTGACCTCGTCCTGTCCATCTATACCCTCTATACACACTGCCGTGGTCGCATTTGTTGTGCTGATGCTCAAAGCTGCCTACTTGACCACTGGACCGTTTCGCTACTAGCCAGTCAATTTATTTTTTTCCTTCTTGCTGCTGAGATCTCAAACATTACATTGATGGCGAGTTAGCGAATTTGGTTCTCATTTCGAGCTTTGTTTTGTCTTGCCACAGCCACGGAGAGAGAGAGAGAGTAAAGGACAGACCTAGCAGATAAGGAGAGGAATTGAACATCTATCCGCGACCACGTCTTCTTGCATGCTACCAGCTCGTACTATGACCATCGAGCTCTGACCGTCGACTTCCCTTTTTCATTTCAATCATCTTTAGCGACTTTAATTATTAAAACACCATGGACGGGGACGAGGACGTGGTCATGAGCGAAGCTCGCGCACCGGCACAGGAACAGACCTCGGGCCCAGCTCCCCCATCAACTTCCACCATCCCCATCGGCGGCGGTCGTCCATCCCCTCCATCTGCAGAAGAGGCATCCCTCACTCCGGAAGCACAAGCACCCAATGGGTCCAAGGAGTCTCATACCCAGTCCCTACTAGCAACCTTCCATCAAAAAGTTCACAGTCCCGGGAAACTAGTGAAGGAAATCGAGGACCATCAGGCAGGCATCTCAACTCCAAACAACGATCCTACGACTGGCACTCCCCGGCCAACCACAGCAGCGGGAGATCACGTCAAGCCTGAACCAGATAGTGTTGTCGCGGATGAAGAAGCAGAGGACTCAGACTGGTCTGCCGATCACCATGAAGGGCGCAGCAGGGCGTTGCACCGTGCCCAGCTTCCAACCGGGTATTGCTATGACAATCGCATGCGGTATCATTGTGAAGTGAAGCCTACGTTGGACGTGCATCCAGAAGATCCACGGCGCGTGTATTATATCTATCGTGAGTTGGGCAGAGCAGGGTTAATTGCTGATGGAGGAGAGTTTCAGGGACCGCTTGTGCCTCAGCCGCTGAAGAGGATTGAGGCAAGAGATGCAACCGAGGCAGAGATCACGTTGGTGCATACCAAGGAACATTATGAGTTTGTGAAGAGCACAAAAGGTGAGCATTGTTTTTTTCTTTTACTTTTTATAATGCTGATGTGCGCCCATTGGACTAAATCGAGGATATAGATATGTCGGAGGACGAGCTCCTTGAGCTCGAACATACCAGGGACTCGATCTACTTTAATTCGTTGACATTCACGTCTGCGCTGCTCTCATGTGGCGGTGCGATCGAGACATGCAAGGCCGTGGCGGAGGAGAAAGTGAAGAACGCAATTGCGGTGATTCGGCCGCCCGGCCATCATGCCGAGAGTAACAAGACAATGGGCTTTTGTCTGTTCAACAATGTCTCGGTGGCTGCGAGGGCATGCCAACATGTCCTCGGAGATAAATGTCGCAAGATTCTGATACTTGACTGGTATGTGATGTATTGAAACCTGATGCCTGATCTTAATGCCTAAGACTAACCCACATTGTCTACAGGGACGTCCATCACGGTATGCGCCATCTTATCATCAGCATGATGCAATTGATATGGGGCTAACGGCTAACTGTACCAGGCAACGGTGTGCAGAGGATGTTCTACAATGATCCGAACGTGCTGTACATCTCGATCCACGTCTACCGGGACGGCAGCTTTTACCCCGGCGGCGACGAAGGCAACTGGGACTACTGCGGCGAAGGACTCGGTCTGGGGAAGTATGTTGTCCCCAAACCCAAACCCAAACACTGGCTTTTCGATATAATTAGTATACTGGGGAATGCTTACAGCTGATAGGAACGTCAACATCCCCTGGCCGACCCAAGGTATGGGAGACGGAGACTACCTCTACGCCTTCCAAGAGGTGGTCATGCCGATTGGCTACGAGTTCGACCCCGATCTGGTCATCAGTAAGTCACCCGTCATTGAGCGTTAATCACTGATTGTGCATGCATGCATGCATATATGCAATGCAGAGTGTTCCGTGCTAATGGGTGCGCGTGTTATGATAGTATCGGCCGGCTTTGACGCAGCAGCCGGGGACGAGCTTGGAGGGTGTTTCGTGACTCCCCCCTGCTACTCACACATGACTCGCATGCTGATGAACCTTGCGAACGGGAAGGTAGCGGTGTGTCTAGAGGGGGGCTATAATTTCCGATCGATCTCCAAGTCGGCGTTGGCCGTTACTAGGACGCTGATGGGGGAGCCGCCAGACCGGCTGATAGCGCCGTCTGCGTCGCGCCCGGCCGTTGAGACTGTGCGGGAGGTGGCGATGATGCACTCGCGGTATTGGAAGTGCATGTATCCGAAGGGTGAGCTAGCAACCTTAACTGTCGACGTGACTCTTTTTGCTGATGCTGGCTTACCCGTTTTAAGGCCCGTCGTCGAATTTTGCGGGGAACCGTGTGCATGGTATGTGAACGTAGAATAACCGGGATTGATTGCTACAGAAGAGATGATAAAACTAACTTGAATGGATTGGCAGATATCATCCGGCAGTACCAGGCCAAACAGCTGTATGAGGATCACAAGCTGACAAGCCTTTACATCTACCGAGACACCATTTCCAAGTCGTTTGAGAACCAGGTACTGGCCAGGTGAGTCCGAGCCTTATGCTCCTTTCCATCTTCAATTCGGTTTTTATTATCCTTTTCAATAAGCGACGACTTAACTTCTGACCCTCGAGTTACACAGCAATAACTATGACAAGGTGGACACTCTGCTTGTTATCTTCCACGACCCGTAAGTTGTCCCTCCGCTTATCAGGGCCGCCCGTTCATTATAGTTTCCGTCAGACTATTGTGATATGGATGGGATATATGTGATGTGCATGCTGATAGGGTGTAACCCACCACAGGCCCGAGCTGATGGGCATCCCACACCCAGTGACCAACGTGCTTGAAGCCCACAACACCTGGTTGGTAAGTTACTTGCAGTGCCTTTAGTATACTGTCACAAGGGAAAAGAAAAGAAAAAAGAAAGCAAAGAAGATCCTGATGATGATGTGTGTGTGGGAGAATGGCTAACAGGAACAAGGCTGATAATGTCAAGGATTACATCTCCTGGGCGGTTGAGCATAACGTGGGTGTTATCGACGTCAACGTCCCGAAGCACATCTCAGAAGCCGACGTCAGTACCACCTTATGCCCTTCTTTTCTATATCCAATGCTGACTGCCTCTTCTTCCAGCAACACTCACGGAGCAGCTATGAGCGGGAAAGCCCGAACCGGGCCCTCTTCTCGGAGCAGCTTGCGGAGTACCTGTGGGAGAACTACATCGAGTGCGTCTATCGGAGCAACTAACTAATAGAGTAATAAGTAATCAGAAGTAACGTTATACTAACGAGGACGCAGGACCAACGAGACCAGCCGCATCTTCTTTATGGGCGTCGGCGATGCCTTTCTCGGCCTCGCCAACCTGCTCATCAACAAGGGTGCGATTACCTCTTCCATCTTCTATCTTATTCTCATGTATATCAGGCTAATGTCTTTGGCAGAGAGAGTCCACACCATGGTCAGTGGCGTGATATGCTTTGTGGCCGAAAACCCCGTCCGCGCCGTCGCCAGCACGACCATCACCTGGCTCTCCAAATGGTACAAAGAGGTAAGCTCGTTCTTTATCGAGAGTAAAAGTTAAGAAGTAGGCTGAGAATGCTAACTTTTCCAGAACTCCATCGTGTTTGTGTCGCACCGGCACATGGTGTGGGAAGGCCAGGAGAACAAGCAGAAGCAGTACAAGCGGTATGGCCGACTGGTAAAGTCTACGGCGGCGCACACGCTCAACGAGATGCTGGTCAACCACCGCGAGGACGTGTTTAAGTGGATCGAAGAGCGAGTCGAGGCCGGGTCAGAGAGCAGTTCATAGCCTACCTACTGCCTTTACTTAGCTAGTTACCTTAGTTACCTACCTTACCTTATGCTTCCTTAACCTACAAACGTTGCGTCTCTATCTTAACCTTCCACCCTGTCCACCGTGCCCTGCATGCATCCAATAGCCCTGCGTAGAGACCAGCGTACGCCAGAGCAAAGAACGAGCCATGCATAAGACTGCATGCAGGCTCGACCGAGTGACCATGCCATGCGCCTGAAACAAGAGCCCACCCCCATGCCCCGGAGCAGCGAGCGCCAGAGCCAGTCAGGTCAGGGAAGCAGGACAAGCTTAAGTAAGGACAGCAACTTGCCAGCCAGCTAGCTTATAGCAACCAGCAAGCTAACTGGAAGGATCTGACCATGGACGTGACATGAAGGGGAAAAAGAAACGAGGGAGTCCGGGGTGGCCGTTGAAGCAGAAGCAGACGCAGAAGCAGAAGCAGGAGAAAGCAGGCGAGATGAGACGAGCGAGATGAAAGGAACAGGCGAAGATGTAACCCAGACAAGGTCAAGTCCGTCGCCTCTGCTACTTCTGCTACTTCTGCTGCTACTGCTGCTACTTCTACTGTTACAAGACAAGCCTAGCGGTTAACCTGAGGCCCAAAGAGTAGTCGTGAGTTAGCGAGCAGGCCACAAAGCTTGTCTCCATCGCATAGCACGACGACGATATCAACCGGCATCAGCACCTGCAACTAGCAACTAGCAACTAGCAGCTAGCAGCTATCACGAACAGTAAAAGTAAAGTAACTAACCAACCGTCGGAAATGAGCATCGCCACCTCGTCTTCTTCATCATCGTCTTCTCTCCTGTCCATCACCGTCTTGCCATCTTGACTGGCCCAACGCATCTCCACAGAAACCAAAAAAACTCCCCGGCCACGCGAGTTTCCACTCTTGCTTGACATTTGCATTTATCTTTTGTCTTGTCTTTTTGTTTCTTGTGTGTGATCCACGGTTCGACATGGTGGTATTCGGCGGCAAAAAGGTCATGGGCCTCGATGTCACCTTATCCCGGGGCAGCCAACCAGCCAACCAACCACCGCCGCTGGCTTGTCTGGGTTGTGTAGTGAGTTAGGCTGGGCTGGGCTGGAGGATGCCGTCTCGGTGTAATGTTAAGAAGAGGTAAGTTAATATTAGACAGGGGGTGTGGACATGGATAGAGGTAGGTACATGCTCCGTAGTCCGCACTTATGTAGCTGGCTAAGGTAGGGGAAGAGTTTTCAAGGAAGAAGAAGAGCGAGAAGAAGCTGACGGAGAAGCCGAAGCTGGGAAGAAGAAGAACAGGAAGAGAAGAGGGAAGCTTCTGCTCAACCATGGACAGAAGGTGGAAGTAGAAGTGGAAGTAGAAGTAGACAGAGAGTCGCATGTCCAGCCAAAGTCTTCGTCTTCTTCGGCGGAAAGAGAAAGTCGCTTTTGCTTGGCTCTTTTTGTTTCTTCCTTTGCTTTTTTTGCTCTTTTTACTCTTTTTTTGCTCTTTTTTGCCTTGGGCCGTGGATGCGACGGTAAGAGGGAGGAGGAAGAAGGATATATAATTAAAGGACCCTGTCTTGCCTCTTCTCCCTCTCTCGTCTGCCTCAGCTTCTCTTTCTCTCCTGTCCTCCAGTGGTTGTGCAGGAAAAAGCAAAAGACGAAGAGCAGAGCAGAAGAAGAAGCAGAAGCAGAAGCTCTCCCCAGGTGTTGATCTCCAGGTTGATCCTCAGGTCTCCATCTCCAGCTTTTATCCCAACCTCAACTTCCACAGCTACAGCTTCTTTTACAGCTGCTACACTTCTACTTCTACACCCAAGGGCATCCGGAACAGACAGACAGCTACCATGGCGGGCACGGCAGACGTCTCGCGCGTCGAGGCGCCGGTGACGCTCAAGGCCTACCTGATGTGCGCCTTCGCGGCCTTTGGAGGCATCTTCTTCGGCTTCGACTCGGGCTACATCAACGGCGTCATGGGCATGGAGTACTTCATCACCCTCTTCACCGGCCTCAAGAAGTCTGACTTCGTCGACAACCCAGAAGGCTTCACCCTTCCCTCCTGGCAGAAGTCCCTGATCACCTCCATCCTCTCAGCCGGCACCTTCTTCGGCGCCATCGCGGCCGGCGACCTCGCTGACTTCATCGGCCGACGCACCACCATCATCATCGGCTGCGGCATCTTCATTGTTGGTGTCATACTGCAGACGGCTCTGCGGGCCTCAACCTGCTCGTGCCGACGTCTGATCGCTGCATCGGCGTCGGTTCGTCTCTGCCATCATCGTCCTGTACATGTCTGAAATTGCGCCCAGGAAGGTCAGAGGCGCCATCGTCTCCGGATACCAGTTCTGCATCACCGTGGGCCTCCTGCTGGCCTCTGCGTCGACTACGGCACCCAGTCGCGCCAGGACTCGGGTTCCTACCGCATCCCCATCGCCCTGCAGATGCTCTGGGCCCTCATCCTGGGCGGCGGCCTCTTCCTCCTGCCCGAGTCCCCCCGTTACTTCGTCAAGAGAGGCAGGCTCGAAGATGCGCAGGCGTCGCTTGCTCGTCTGCGTGGCCAGGACCGCGACTCAGACTACATCCGCGAAGAGCTCGCTGAGATCGTCGCCAACCACGAGTACGAGATGCAGGCTGTGCCCCAGGGTTACTGGGCCTCCTGGCTGCACTGCTTCCACGGCAGCCTCTTCAACCCGGCCAGCAACCTGCGCCGTATCATCCTCGGAACCGCCCTGCAGATGTTCCAGCAGTTCACGGGTATCAACTTCATCTTCTACTTCGGAACCACCTTCTTCCAGGACCTGGGCACCATCGAGAACCCCTTCCTCATCGGCCTCATCACTACCCTCGTCAACGTCTGCTCTACCCCGATCTCCTTCTGGACCATCGAACGCTTCGGCCGTCGTGCGCTGCTCATCTGGGGCGCCGTCGGCATGTTCACCTGCGAGTTCATCGTGGCCATCATCGGCGTCACGGACGGCCAGAACAGAAACGCCGTGCAGGGCATGATCGCGCTTATCTGCATCTACATCTTCTTCTTCGCCTCGACCTGGGGCCCCGGCGCGTGGGTCGTCATCGGCGAAATCTACCCGCTCCCCATCCGATCCCGAGGTGTCGGTCTCTCCACCGCCTCCAACTGGCTCTGGAACTGCGTATGTCTCACCTTCCTTTCTACCATATCACCCATCCATATCATCCAGTATTAGTTCTAACGTCACTAGATCATCGCCGTCATCACTCCCTTCCTGGTCGGAACCGACAAGGCCAACCTCGGCGCCAAAGTGTTCTTCATCTGGGGCTCGCTCTGCGTAGGCTGCTTCCTCTTCGCCTTCTTCCTCATCCCCGAAACCAAGGGCCTCACTCTCGAACAAGTCGACAAGATGATGGAGGAGACCACCCCCATCAAGTCCGCCAGCTGGAAGCCACACACCACCTTCGCTGCCGAGATGGGCCACGTCGCTACCGGAGGAGCTGCCGACGAGAAGTCTGCTGCCTTTGGCGAAGCTGGTGCAGACTCTGCTGTTTAACTTGGTCGTCTTCAGTGAAAACGAAACCCGGGCGGGAACAGCCTTGCGTTATATCTCTTTTACTATAGTTACTTAATGTCTGCTTACCTTATGCTTATCTGCTGCGCCCTATGGGTGTCTGTAGCTAGCCACGCACTCTACGAATGAACGTCCATTCATATGACTCTCTCTTTATCTCTTTATATATTAATCCCTCGTCTTTGTCATGTATAAGTAACTGTTCTTAAGTAATTCGGCTCTGAAGCTTCTTATTGGTCCAGTCGGCACACGCGAGCAGATATCTCCATCTCTACCGGCAAAGGTAAAGAAAGACTCGTAGAATAGCCGGCATCTAACCCTTTTTATGCCTATCTCTCGGCGACAAGTCCATCCCGCCAACTCCATGATTACTATCCAACTATCTACTATCCATCGACCACTGTCTACTCATCACTATCTCATATCTACTATCTATCCACTGTCTATGCACTGACTTACTACTTACCGACGGACTTGACCGAGCAATACGAACTCTCCACCTCTCTCTCCGTCATTCGCGTGCCATCTCCGGCCCCAAGTCCATGTCCAATCCACATCCAAGTCCAGAATCCGGGGTAACCAACGAACCAGCCGAACCAGCATCATCCAAGCAACTTCCCCCTCAACCACCAACGGACAACTTCCATTCTTCACCCAACTCTTACTTACTTCACTATAGACTGCAGCTGGCCGAGGCTCAAGTAGAAACTGCTTCGGTTATTCCATCGACGATCCGATCGGCTGCCCTCGCGTGGCCACCGCTGCTCACTTCCAACTTGGCTTCGCTTCCGTGACACTGACAGGACAGGCCAAGATGCTTCAGCCTGGTTTGGACGTCGTATCGCATGGCATCTGCATATCCAGCGCCGTCCACGCCATCAGCCCGTTCCTCGCTCGAGTCTAGGTCTAGCCCAGCTGCTTCTCCGGTCGTCGGCCTCAGCTGGGATGGGGATGTTCGTTCATGCCATGCTTGCCATGCGGGGATGAAGCCGGCCTTGGGAGTGATCGTTGAACAAGTCGCGCTTTGTCCTAGTTAACTATAACCAACTAGTCAAACCGACTGCTACTACCTTGGGCCTGGTCTGGCTGGATGGATGCAGATATCCAAAGATAAATACCCGCCGATCCCTCGCTGGGTTTTATCTTCAGTTCTTTATAAGATAAGACGAGACGGACGTTTGCAGACATACACCTGCAATCGTTGTTGTTACTCTTGCTCTTACTCTTACGCACTTGATTGGTATTGTTGATTATTCTGCCGAAGATGGAACACGATGAAGAGAAAGGCTCAAAGAACACTACGACTACGGACCACGTCGATGACTTGTCCAAGGCCGTCGTCAGTCCTGCAGATGTTGATGTGGACGAAGAGTTCTCGCGCCAGGAGCAGCGCAAGATCATCCACCGCATCGATGCGCGGTTGGTAGTTATTTGCGGTGTCGGGTACCTCGTTAGCTTGATGGATAGGACCAACACTTCTGTAGCTGCCATTGCTGGGTACGACTTCTCTCTTATCTCTCTTCTTACTTATATATATGTATATGTAACGCTGACTGACAATTGCATAGTATGAGCAAAGACCTGGGTCTGAAGATAGGATTCAGATACGTTAGTTTACCTTACCCGTTGAAGTCGTGTACATGCTAACGATAACCAGTCAATTATCGTCCTGGTGTTCTTCGTAACATATATCGTTGCGCAGCCCATAGCGACGATAGCCATCAGAAAAATAGGCCCGAGATTATTCATATCCGTCATTGTCTTCACATGGGGCATCATCTTGATAGTACGTACCCCCTTCCCCCTGCATGACTGGCTGAAAGCTTCATTGTCTAACATGCTCCAAGGGATTTGGTTTTGTCAAGGATTGGCAGCAGATGGCTGGCCTACGAGCGCTGTTGGGCTTCCTTGAAGCTGGGTTCTTTCCGGGAACGGTATACCTGCTGTCCACCTGGTACTGTCGACGTAAGTTTCTCCACTTGGACAGTTTTGAACAAGAACTTGGTCTGACTGTGGAATATAGATGAGGTTCAAAAGCGGTACTCGGTCTTTTACATCATCGGTGCTGTTGCCGGTTCGCTCTCCGGCATCCTTGCATTCGGTCTTAGCCAGATGGAAGGGCTCCAGGGCATCCGTGGCTGGAGATGGATCTTCATCATGGAGGGAGTAGTAAGTGCATTTATTTACTTGATCTGTTTTCTAGACCTATACCTATGTCTATCTCTAACATGCATTAGATATCTATACTAGTGGCTTTCCTAAGCTACATCTTCCTCATTGACTTCCCGGACCGAGCCTCCGGAGCATGGGGTTTCTTAAATGAAAAGGAACTCGCCTTTGTGATTCGCCGTGTCAACCGTGACCGAGGCGATGTACACGTCGAGCCTTTCACCCTTGGCAGATTCCTCCGTCCAGCCCTAGACCTGAAGATCTGGGGATTCGCCATGATCTTCTTGTACGTCCCGCCCGCCCCCTTTACCCATCTTCTTATCCACCACTATTCTAACCCTAGCATATAGCTGCTCTACAACAGTAACCTACGCCATAGCTTACTTCCTACCCATCATCCTCGCAGACGGACTAGGCTTTGGTGTCGGCGAATCCCAATGTCTCATTGCGCCCCCTTACGCCTTCGCAGCTATAGTAATGTATACCTCAGCCTATATTGCGGATAAATACCGTATGCGCGCACCCGTCATCGCAGTCAACTCCCTGATCACCCTGATCGGACTGCCGATGGTAGGATTCGGCAAGGGCAACGCCCTCCGCTACGCTGGAGTCTTCCTGGCCACTGCCGGAGCGAATGCAAACATCCCTTCTGCCATGGCTTACCAGGCCAACAACATCCGTGGCCAGTGGACCAGAGCCCTAGCCAGCGCGACCCTGGTTGGGTTTGGAGGTATTGGTGGCATAGCCGGCAGTCTTGTGTTTAGGTCCCAGGATGCGCCGGAGTACATCCCCGGCATCTGGGCTGCGATAACGTAAGTCCTCATTCATGCTTTTCTCTTCAGCCAGTACTCCGTAAACTGTACTAATACTAACCCTTGCTTGAATGGTATGTAGGTCCCAGCTTGTTCTGCTCCTAACTGTGGCCGTGATGAGCTGGCACTTCTGGAGATCTAATAAGAAGGCTGACAGGGGGGAGCTTGTCATCGAGGGGTCCCAGACTTTCCGTTACACTATTTAATTTAAGAATAGTAGAGTGTTTAATATACTGCTATTAATGACTTTATCTTATCTGTTCACAACTACCTGCCTAGGTAGGTACTTTTATGTCCCCCATGATAATATAGTCAAAGGGTACCATTGAAGCATGGAAATTGACAAATTCTGTATCAGGAACCAGTATATTAGTAGTTGCAAAAAAGTTGAGCTCGTCGAGATCCAAGTTGAAGGAGGTCAGTTTGACTTTCAACTCGAGGAATTCAAATTGATCATTGCTGACTTCAACGTTATCCGATTGAAGAAGCTCAAGGCGGAGCCTCATTGTATGGCTGCCATATTCCGCCAGGTCTCTCGCAGGCTGGGAACATTGAATTGGGCGGTTAGTAAGGAGAGAGTCCCAACGTTGCAGCTTGAATAACAATTCAGACTTACAGAAGACAGCTTAGCATTGATCTTCAGTTTATGCTTGAACCAATCCCTTGACTGGGTATACTCTGTGGTCCCCTCGAAGTCCCAGTTCCATTTGTATACTGGGGTGGTATATGGACTCTGATCAGTTATAGACAGGTCCAGGGGATTCTTATCAAAATCTACCGTTAACGTATCAACTTTGATGATCGTGGTGCCAACCCCATAACGAATCTCGTAACGACCGCTTATTATCACTTGGTTCTCCTGGCGAACCTTCAAGGATATCCCAGTATCAGTTTTAATTTCACTAGCACCTCGAAATTTCGCCCTGATCCCAGGAAGCAGAAATTTATCCTGAAAGAGATCTCGGGAAAGAATGATGCTTGCAGTCGATCCGTTGGGTATGGGGCTGGTAGAGTCGGTGTCGAAGGTAGGCATGTTATCTCCTTGCTCAAAACCACTGCCTTTGGTCTGAATAAAGATAAGTAATACCCCAGCCGGTCCTGCAAAGCGGAAGGACTTTGGACGAAGGATATCGGAAGTTTTATCCTCATGGTTAGAGATTCGCGCCAGGCGCAACTTGATCCCAACCAGATTTTGTCGGTTTTCAAACCAAGTCCGTACATCATTCACAATGCCGAATACCGAGTCTTTATCTGGGACGTCTGTCTTTTTCGCATGTACAGTCCATGATGTACCGCTATTCTTAAAATTGAGTGTTATGTAGCGGTCGCTTGTCCTAGTGTCTTCGAAGATAATACTTTGTTCGCTGGTCTAGAATTCGGTTAATTTTATGTCTGTGGCGGCTTCGATATCAGATACCCAAAGAGCGCCCTGCCGAAGAATACGCACCTGAATCGACCCACCCGTCTCTTCTCCATCAACAACAGCCAAGGGAACCCCAACTTCTAGGCTGAAGTTGTTAGGAGTAATTGTGAATATCTCGGGCGGAAACTGCTTATATCTCTGTTCCATAGTTCCCTCGATGGGTATACTCAACGATGCGGACGCCAGCGCCGACAAACTTTTGATTTGCAATTGCGGAAATCCAAGAGTGAGATCGAACTTTGATATGAGATTACCTCCCATTGTAACTGTTTCAAACGTGGCATGGGTGAATAATTTGGATCCTTCCCACTGTTTCCGGAGCACTTTGTTCAGCTCTTCGGCAGAGTAGGAGACCAATACATCCCACCTACATGTCCGGCTCGCTGCTTTCATTTTGTCATGGAGAGCGCTTCTCGAAAGGATTTTGGTTCCCGACATAGTGAAGCAATTTCTTCAGCCTTGTTAAGCTGAGAAAAAGAGGGCATAAAATTTCGGCTTATGCTTGTCCACAAAGGTATCGGGCTTATCAAGCTGTCAAGCAAATACGAGAGAGTGAGAAACGGTATATAAACATGCAGAGTACTCCATACTCTGCACCCAGGATCTATGCAAGCATTTCCTTTCTCGTCCAAGCGCAAGTCCATTTTTGCGACTTGCTGATGTGTTACACAGCTTAAGCTTGTCAAATAAAGTATTTGGACATGCCGCATGGCCTGTCAGATTGATATACGGGCTAACCAGCTGAATCTCTAGGCACCCTTTCGCAACTCGACACGTATTGATTGATTCATGCGGTTGGCCATGCAATCCGGCTGGCTGAGCTAGTCATGGCATGGGTTTGCCCCCGGTAGTCCACGGGTCGAATTGTTGAGCATCGATTAGGTGTTGCAACATATAGAGGGCCTCTGATATCCAAAATGTTCCTTAAAACGAAACAAGAGAGAGAAGGATTCATTTAACAAGAAAAGCAGACAACACCTCTAAGTACTGAACATTACTCCATATACTTATCAAACTAGTTATCATATTTGACAAACAAAGAAAACATGGCTTCTTCACGGATGAGTAAGTTGATCATCTATGGCCTGGCAAACCCGAACTGGAACGTGTGCTTATACTATTTTCTCAACAGCTGAAGTCAAGAAATTCATCGATTTACTATACACTGATATTCCCTTTCAAAAGGGATTGATAGACTGTCTTGTTGCAAAGGGAGATACTCTCGACTATGCCAAAAGTCGAGGATATATCCCCCAGCCAGATGACTGGAAACTCATCAAATCACTTGCAGAGCCCGGGCCCAATTTTGACCTCCGTTTTGCAGGCGGAGCTTATAGAGTTGACCCGAACGGACTTGGAATATGGGAATTGCTGGTAGTATCATCAACCCAGGTTGTCTACGGTAAGCCAGAACATGCGTTGTATCAGGCAGCAGCAGAGAACACAGCCATCACAGAGCTAACTTATGCTAGTTGACGGGGTTGCGGCGACGTCAGCGAAGGTGGATGAAGATGGATTCGTCACTTTCTCAATCCAATCAGGCTATAATTTTCGAATCAAGATTATTCCTGCTCCATTGGTTGGTGACAAACCAGAATCTATGCGAGAATCTTCATTTTCCGGAGAGGTATGGCAAAATGGCTCCGTCCATCGATCAACCATAGCCGGTAAACGATTTTACCCTTGGGGGAATATGTTCGGAAAGGTCGAAGACGAGGAAGTACGGCCAGAAAGAAGCCCGCCAGTGTCAGATGAAACAAAATACAAAGCAGCAGAGGTCAGAAACAGGGAGGCACAGATGTCTCTGGCTGTGGCTACTGATCTAATCAGTTCTCAATATTGGCCACGCTCACCAGCGGCCATCATGGCTGATCCTAAAGAGTGGGGAGAGCTACTGCCAAAGGCTGTAGCTGTATTATTGGGATTTTTGGTATATTACGCAGCTGGAAAAATGGGTGACGCTTGGTCAGATCCCGTGAAGGTCGTTATATCGGTGCTGATGGCTGCCGTTTCCGATGCTTTGTTAGAAAGAATCCAGGATAGGTCTTTAGTAAACCTGAAGGATACGATAACTATAGTTAAAACTGATATACGATGGAGATCGGGGACCAATCGGCCTGACATGAAGTGGGTAGATGAAATGGTGTACCGGCGGGTACAAAGATTGGACGGAGACACACTACCAAAACCCGAGACATTGATCAAAGAACTGACTGAAAAAGCAGAGAGGGAATTTATTCGGAGGGCAGACTACTTCATGCGGCCCATGCTTGAAAAATCCTTTTCGGTCTTGTCTACCTGTTTCTGGAACAAATACTCTGCCACGATAACCGAGGCACTGAAGGCCAGAGTTGCGGAAGATATATCCGCCACTGAAATGCAAAGAATTGTGACGAAGCACCTGGAGAGGGGCGCTGATCTGAGGAGTTTTAACGATGAGATCAAGAGGCTGAAAGACGAACTTGCGGAGAAAGAAAAGGAGAAGGACCAAAAAATCAAAAGTATTCCTCCAGGCCCAGAACATGACCTAGATAGGAAGCGTATTGAAGACGAGTACCAACTTGAGAAAACAAATTCGGAACTCGAGCAAAAGAGACAAGAAAATGAGTGGAGGGAAAAGGAAAAGGAGCATGTGAAAAGTATTGACCGTGTGCGTGAAACACTGGAAGAACTGGCATCAGAGCATAGAGAAGAGAGAGAGGAAGAGATTCGGCGACGGGGGAGACATTAGTGTTTGTTGTAGTTATAGTTACACTCTAGCTAGATATCCTCTTTCGGTTATTTCAAAAATATTGGAAGATATTTTGGTCACTTTTGGCTTATTTAGTGTGTTGCCTGTCTTCAAAATTTGGGCTACCCGAGAATAAGTCTCTCCCCCTATTAACCTGAAAATATCCACACCACCGAAAAGACCACCTTGTTATGAACAATCATGAGGGTAAGGGAGACGGTAGCATCTAGTATCATTACTAGACCATTGAGCCCCCTATATATATAATATATTTGCAGAATATAGTCTTAGAACAATAGCATTGAATAGTCCGAAACCGCTGAAATAGATTAACTAAGACCCGAAACAATTTTTACAACCCTAGTATTCCATAGGCATCTCTCGATACCGAAAATCAAATTCGAAGTAGGCGGCTGAGACATCAGACAAGTCCAAATCCTTGTTTGACTCCGATAAAATCTCAATTCTCCAGCTTGTAAAGGGCCCAACTAAAGCATACTTGTCGTCGTTCGCTGATGCAATGTCTCCGTCCGATGTATCCGGCCCCTCAGCCTTCATCTTAGTGGTATCATACTTGAACCCGACCACAAGAGGATCATGATCAAATTCGTATCGGGTTCCTTCTTTGTCTAATATGGCCTCCTTGCCGCTGTGTGTGATAACCACGTCAAGCCTATCGTCACTAGTGCTTACTCCAACTGCAAAGAACCGCACTTTTGTCAGCCGGACGTCTGCTCGACGGAAGAAGACATCTGGCCCATCGGTGGGCGGATTGGTCGAGATGTAGACGTCCAGTATTACGCCCATATCTCCACCGCTTTGCAGAATTCTCACATCCCGTTCCTTTAAATGATACTTGAGACCCGAGTAAACTTGAGTGCTTTGTCCCATGCTTTCCGTATGGTCTCGGTATCGGTTAGATAGACTTGCGTGGACAGCTCTCAGCATATCTGAATCAAAACTCGAAAAATTGAAGTCGGCCATTGCTTTCCCAATCACATTCTCGTTGTTCAAGGCAACAAAACAATAGGCCTGCTGAGTTTTATACAGCCAGAGCTGTGCGATCTGGATGGAATCTCCATATAATTTCTTGAGAAAAGCCTGCATTGTAGGGTGCGCTGCCTCCAAATTGCTTGCCTCTCTCTCCAATTCCCCCTTCAGTGCCCTTAAAGATTCAATTTCCATTTCGTACTTGAGGAGTAGGGCCAGCGCCACATTGTAGGACAACACTGCGTTATTTCGCTTCTGTACAGCGTCTATATACTACATATCAGTCGTTCTCGATTCATAGGGTCAAAGAATAGACGTAAATTTGCAGGAATATGTCAGGTCAACTCACCGATATACGCATCAAATCTCTTTTTGACCTCTTTGAGGGGTTCCAAGCCCAACTTGAAGGAGAATTCGTTAAGAAGCTTCATGGTCTCCGTTTCTAAAATGATGAGTTTGGCTGCTCCCGGATCGTACAAGTCCAGTGATCCGTCTTTTTTCAGCACGTTATACCCTTCGTCGAGGCTTTCAATGGTATTACTTATGTCATGAATCTTTTTGATCAAGTAGTCCTTGTTGACCTTAACTCCAGTATCGCTCTCGATCTGTGATATCCCTTTGTTCAAAAGTTCAACCCCCTGGAGTCCAACCATAGGCCAGGAACCGTGAACAAATATTACCTGACCCAAAGCATCTAGCAGGTCCTGGAAATTTGCACCAAATTGCTTCCGAATAAGATCCATCACAGTTTCAAGCTCCTTCTCGAGTCTCTCTCTGGCGGGTTTGATGGCTTCATTGCGGACCCGGATTGCCATTCCACTTTTGACGAGATCTTTCTTTGCTTCAGCAATCATAGTATTCGCATTTTGTGCTACGGTTTCACACATGCTGATTCTCTTTCTTACAGCTTCTCTTTTTGCTTCCTCATCCTTTGAGCTGCTCAAGCATTTGCGGTAAGTGTCCTCGGCCTTTGCCAGGTACTCCACGAAATATGCTGCTGTCTCCTGGTAGAATTTAAAGGACGCCCGAGGCACTTTACGCGCCCCTAGTCGCACATCTCCAGACTTGCCACCGTAATAGTCATCGCCGGATCGAATATGTATCAGAGCAGCCTCAGCTTCTGTCTTGATTGCGCGCAGCTGTTGAATAGATGCTGGTTCTTCATCCTTGGGGCCACTAGTGAGAAACAAACCGTACTCAGCCGCCCGATACGCTGACCATAGGGGTTCCTCAGCATGACTCTGTTGTGCGGGTTTAAAGTCCAGAAATTCAAGCCTTTTCAGGATTCGTTCAAGGATGATGACACCCTGAGCTTTCTGTCTGAGCGTTCCACAAAACCACAGAAGATTTGCCTTGTCTAGAAGCATGCGGCACTGAATTGGGTGAGCAAAGCAGACTTTTCTCTTGCATATTTCGGGATAGTCTCCAGCTCTGATAATTGAGAGAGTTCCTTCCTTGCCCGCCTTGCCGTTTTTACCATCCTCCTTTTTACCTTTTCCTCCCACCCCATAGGCCCCTCCATCTACATTGGCAATTTGAGAGAGTTCCGCTAGAAGCTCATCCTCCGGTCTCTGTAGGGCCGTCAACAGTGCTATCAACTCGTGCGTAATGCTCTCTTTGGACACTTTCAAGACATCTTCAGCCGTTCGCATGGATGGTGGCATTTGATGTACTTTTTGAACGTCTTCTGCCAATACGCACTCCATGAGTTTATTCACATCGTTCGTAAAGTCCGCGGGCCAGTGGTAATGCTCATCTATAATTTTATCAAGGACAGCTTGAACGCGGTCCGAAGCTTCCTTGAACTGACTCCCGACATATATCGTGATTTTCCCGCCATCACCACCATCTCCTCCAGCCTTTCCAATATCGGGAATTGGTTCCCCAGTGATTTGATTGTGGCCGTGACCCCCATGCGCTACAGTAGATCCCAAAGTCAGCCTGGGCTTTTCAAATCACTTAGAGAAGGAGGTAATGATTAAGACCTTGCAGACGGAGGCGTTTAACAGCATCAAGCTTCAAAGTCTGGACATATATCTCCAGAACCCCTCCCTGAATACCATTCGGTTGGGTATATGTCCCGGCCAACCCCGGAGTACCAATTATCAACGGGTTTGTAGCCGATCCAGCAGTATTGAGACTATGAGTGAAAAGGTAACATTCGCTCGGTTGACTGGCACTCGCGTTTTCATGCTTAATGCTCTTCTCCACAACTGCGTTTTCCACATACAAAGCTAATGGATCTTTGAGGGCTATAAGCTCATACGCATCCTCTGACACAGATAATACGATGGCGGGGTCATTTGCAGGATATTTGATAGTGTCTGGATCCCAAGACATCGTGGATACTTCTGAGCATCAATTTTTTTTTTTGGGTTGCTCTGTAATTCTATCGCCTCTGGTTGCCTATGGAACAGGCGATTGAGAATGGATGGACTGGGAAGTTATATTCAGGTGCCCTGGATGAATTGTTCATGGAGTACCCTGTTCAGCAAGCCACACTGGTACTTTCTTCGGAATGCAGCCGGGTTTTAAATTTTCCCCATGATGTCAAATGAACGAGGACATACTCTGCCACTACCTGTGCGGCCTCGATGCGGATATGATCGATGGTTCCCCGGACCGGCCTTTATTTCCAACCAAAACATTATGGTTTATGGTTCTCAATTGGAGACATTGTCGGATCAGCGTATGCGTTGTCGATTACTTGATATCCATGTAATTGATTGTGGCAGAGCTGAATTTGGCATTCAACATATAGATACTTTGCAGTATATGCATGCCTCAAAATTTAGACCTGCTACGACACTGAAGATCTGGCTGCTGTGCAACCGGGACTGCGGGGAGGAGCAACTTAGACAGGACATGTGCGATAGAACTGGGTTGCCGGGCCGTTACATGTTGCTCCAGATTCAGGCCTGCCACGTCGCTGAAGACCCCAGAGCTGCCAAAGGACATACAGCTTGGATGGGACATAACTAGTGTAAGCGAGAGTCGAAAGAATTAAAATCGAAAACTGCCCGTCTCCCCCTTCCCCACTGTTAACAGAGTACATATAATCATTTTTTCAACAGAGAACTGCATGTTAAATACGACTCACTCGATATGGCGACGATTCTCTCAAACAAGGAGTTGAATGAGACACTGCAGAATAACGAGTCGACATGTAATTGGGATGCGGTGGTGTCCTACTCCCAGCGAGAAATCAATCAGCTACTAAAAGAGAAATGGACGGGTTGGAAGAACCGCATAAGCCTTGAATTCACCCTACGTTTCGGAAGCCATATCATTGACAAATATAGCATTTCGCTTGGGCTTCAACTGCTGCAATTCGATCTTACCCGGACGCGAACATGTGCCGAGATAACACTCTCACTCGAAGGGACCAGGCAACTGAATATCGATGGCGAAGATGAAAAACCGGAGGAAATTGCCCCTGGCAGGTACAGACTCAAAACCATGATTCCGCTCGCATCTATGCACGGAGAAGAGGTATCAGAAAGGATCAAGGTGCGTTATATACCTGACCGCATATATCAAACTGACTGTTCGGTTTCCTAACGAGTCATGTAGAGGATGGAGAACAACCTCGTTTTTGATGACGAGAGTACAGCCGACAGTTATTCTGCGATTCATTTCGATACTCAATTTTCTCATTGGACCGTGATCAGAAGCAATCAAGATGACTCCGACGAGCAGGTGAATGAGATCTGTGAAAATATCAGGCGCTGGTGCGGATCGCCCCAGCACATCGCGAAGATAATTGTGAGCCTTGGTCGGGTGCCTAGGCCTAATGGCTATGATTCCGCCTCCTTTTCTCTTAGCCCTAAGACATTTCGCTTCGCTGGGCAACCTGGTGTGCTTAACATCTTCATCGACACTGGAGCCAGCCAACGAGAATATGGAGACTGCGATCCCAGATTCAGTACTAATAGTGTAAGCCCAGTGTCGAAACACTCCAGTGCCAGCATCATCATATCGCGAAATGTCTTTCAGAACGCATATCTGGTTGAGCAGATTAAAAGCCGGTGTCCGGAGCTTTCAACCCACAAAGGTGTCGTTCCTAAAAGCGTGGAATCGGGAATCTCTCTTGAGTTGCGGTATTCACACAAAACTATCATTCGGGGGGACGAAAAAGAAGTTGCCCATTGGAAATATATCGCCGACGGCGTGGTTGTGGACTTTGCCAAACATCCTTTGACCCTTGAGGTTTATGACGAGGCTCCATACCAAGAACTAAAATATAGATGGAGATGGAGTTATACGGGTCAGCTTCCGTATATAGTCGTGGAACCGTCTGGGTATAGGAATATTTCGTCCGCAGATGTCACTGCCAGAATATTTGATGTAAGTTTTTTCGCCCAAGTACTCTGCGAATCGAATGCCTTTTTGCGCCGCTTGCTAAAAGACAATTGAAGGAATCCAAAACTCTTGCTACGATCAAAGACAACGAAATCGAGCTGAGTCTTAGGATGGAAGATTCAGACCAGCCAAAATGCCATCTCATTGGTGCGGATCGTCATATAACACCACACGCTGCGCTTGAAAAACTCAACATCTCCCTCCCCAGGATTGATTACTTTGAGCTTCAGAATATTTTGGTTCCAGGGTCACGGTGCATCGAAATGAAAACAGTGATGATCCCTTATGACTGTGTCCTCTCAGGGGATGTACTATTTTAACACCCATGGAAGTGATAATTCAAGAGGGTCCAAATCGTTGGAAAAGGGCTTTTTATTGACTGTATGCAGAACGCCTTCATCAAAAGGGCATACTCAGGATGGTTAAAGCAACCTATACCATTTATGAGCCTAAGTTTCAATCTTCATTGTCGTGGGCCTTTATATAACTACTTGCCTCGGAAATAGATTGATCCGTGTCTTGATAACGATAGAATGTTGACGTCGACGGCAAGGGGCCGCATGTAAGACGCTCTCCGTAGAAAGTCAGATGTCTTAACGCATAACCATGCGTTCAATTCTGTAGTCAACTACTTCGATATCTACATTAGGTAGGTAGGTGCATCCCTGATTATTTATCTATGTTGTCTGTAGTCTTTTTCGTAGTAAGAGAGGGCAGTCGCTTATAACCAACCGCTGCTTGAATTTGCCGCTAAAGGCTCGCTTCTATGGTGTAGTGGTAGCACATCGGATTTTGATTCCGACGACGCCAGTTCGATCCTGGCTAGGAGCTTTATTTTTTTTCTTTTTGTTATTATTTCTTTTGCTACTTTCTTCCGATTCTTGTATTACTTTTTACGGCGTACATCATGAATCATGAATCATGCTGTGGTACGAAGTATTAGAGTAGAGATTCATATGTGTATCCAGAAGAGGCATGCTACGGCTGCAAGGAGACGACGGCTATCAGGACTAATACGAACTCCGAGCTGATAAGATGAAGTCAATAGTAATAGTAACTAGGTAAAGCGGTAGGGATAGCCAGTATCCTCGACACTGATAGACATGGAATACAACGCCAGTCTGCCGTCGACATGGCTGATAACTTCCAGAGATAAGGAAGTAGATACAGGGGTAATATAACTACTCCGTACCTGGGTACTAAGTAATTAAGTCCGTCACCACCAGCTGCAAGTATATATATACGATGAGAAGCCACCTTGCCAGCAAGAGATGATGCATGCCAGCGCCTACGACGCATCTGCCGGGCCTGGCATAGCCGCGGGCGTCGGAGGCAACGGTGGCTTCCACAGCTCCCACAGCTGAGCGGCCCAAGGGAAGCCCATCCCGATTCCCGAGCCCATGTCACTTGCATGAACGGCCCCAGGCAAGAGGCTGCAGCAGACAGCTACTAGCAAGGTTGGGCTTCGTTAAAAGAGGTACTCCGTACGTAACTAAGTCGCCCGCTGATTAGAGAAACATCGCCATCCAGGGGTATCGTATCTCTCTCCCCTCGATCCCCTAGCACACGAGCCAGCCGGGGAGGTAAGGGGAGAGGCGGATGTACTGATATAGGGCTTGGACTTAGCGGTGACATCTTATTGTTTGCTGTGTGGGTACTTTTAGCCTGCGAGGGAACACAGTGTCAGCATCTCTCGGCTCTTTCACCTGCTTCCTCGTCTTGCCGCGTCCCTTTATTTTACCTGACTTGTCCAGCGGTCTGCAGAGGTAAGTCTCTCTCTGCCTGTCTGCCTGTCCCTCTGTCGTGTGCTCTGTGATAGTCGGACACGTCGTCTGCGTTGCTGGCTCGCTGGCTAACTGAAAAGTCGACTGGCTGGCAGTTCCCGTCTGTTTGACTTGCTTGCGTTCCCTCGTATGCCTCCAAGGTTCCTCGCGAGACGGCTTCACATCTCACCAGCTACGCGCCGGTGTCACTCACCTGCAGCTGGTTTTCGTCTCTTCTCTTCCTCTAGCGGACATCCTCTCTTCCTTCCGGCCTCACCGCAGCTGTTGCTCGTCCGTCAACCGCTTGCACGTCTCCCTCGTTCCTCTTCCGGAGCGTTGTTGGGAGCCACGCACTATACCACCGCAGCAACTGCAATAGCAACAGCAACAGCAAAAACTACCCTCAAAGAGTCCTCAGACAAGAAGAAGTCGAAAGCCATGGCGCAGGTCGAGCGTTTGGCTGATAGCCTGGAGAAGCCGTCGGTGGACAACCGCACGTACCGAGTCATCAGGTTGCCCAACAAGCTCGAGGCCCTCCTGGTCCATGATCCGGATACAGACAAGGCCAGTGCCTCTGTCAACGTCAACGTAGGGAACTTCTCAGACGACGATGACATGCCTGGTATGGCCCATGCTGTCGAGCATCTGCTCTTCATGGGCACGGAAAAGGTGTGCTCCTGCTCCTTATACGACACTGCCCTCTCAACGTTGACCATGACAGTTGCTAATTGGAGCCCTTTTCTGAATCCAGTACCCAAAGGAGAATGACTATAACCAGTATCTAGCCGCACATTCCGGCCACTCAAATGCATACACAGCTGCTACAGAGACAAACTACTTCTTCGAGGTTGCTGCTACCTCCCATCCACGCTCCAAGGCCCCCTCCGGCATGCCCTCTGCCTCACCATCCCCAGCTCCAACCCCTGGAGGAATCCTGGCAGACAAGATGTCCCATCTCACGGTCGAAGGAGCTTCAAACAGTGCTAGCTCCTCCATAAGCGACCTGACTCCTCCCCTGTATGGTGCTCTGGACCGATTTGCCCAATTCTTCATTGCCCCTCTTTTCCTCCCTTCCACTCTAGACCGTGAGCTTCAGGCCGTCGACTCGGAGAACAAGAAGAACTTGCAGAGTGATCCGTGGCGTTTGCTGCAGCTAAACAAGTCCCTCTCAAACCCGAAGCACCCTTACAACCACTTCTCAACCGGAAACCTAAAGACTCTACGTGATGACCCCCAGGAGCGTGGTCTAGACGTCAGGACGGAGTTCATGAAGTTCCATGATAAGCACTATTCTGCAAACCGGATGAAGCTAGTTGTCCTGGGTAGAGAGCCCTTGGACGAGCTGGAGGCGTGGGTTGCAGAGTTATTCGCAGATGTCAAGAACAAGGACCTCCCACAGAATCGGTGGGACGACATTGAGGTGTTCGAAAAGGAAAACATGCTTAATATGGTCTTTGCAAAGCCAGTGATGGATAGCAGGACCCTAGATATTTTCTTCCCTTACCCTGATGAAGAGGATCTGTACGAGTCCCAGCCTAGTCGGTATATCAGCCACTTGATCGGACACGAAGGTCCCGGCAGTATCTTGGCCTATATCAAGTCCAAGGGATGGGCTACCGAACTCTCTGCTGGCTCCATGCCCATCTGCCCTGGATCAGCCCTTTTTAACGTTTCCATTCGTCTGACCGAGGATGGACTGCAGCACTACCAGGAGGTCATCAAGACCATCTTCCAGTACATTTCTATGATCAAGAAACGAGAACCCGAGCAGTGGATCTTTGACGAGATGAAGAACCTTTCCGAGGTAGACTTCAAGTTCAAGCAAAAGTCCCCGGCCAGCAGATTCACCAGCAGCCTTAGCAGCGTCATGCAGAAACCATACCCTCGCGAATGGCTCTTGAGCGGTTCGACCTTACTGCGCAAATTCGAACCAGAACTCATCTTAAAGGGCCTCTCGTACCTCAATGCAGACAACTTTAATATTGAGATCGTCTCTCAAACTTTCCCTGGAGGCTGGGACAAGAAGGAGAAGTGGTACGGCACCGAATACAAGGTGGAAAGGGTCCCAGAGGACCTCCTGTCTGAGATCCGCCATTCGCTAGAGACTTCTACTGGCAGAATCCCGGACCTGCATATGCCTCATAAGAACGAATTTGTTCCAACTAGACTAGACGTTGAGAAGAAGGAAGTTGCTGAACCTGCGAAACGACCGAGCCTTATTCGAAGAGATGATAAGGTCCGAACATGGTTCAAGAAGGACGACACTTTCTGGGTGCCCAAGGCTGCGCTGGAAATCACCCTCCGAAGCCCTCTCGTTTACGCGACCCCTGGAAATAACGTGATGGCCAAGCTTTACTGTAGTTTGGTCAGGGACGCCTTGACAGAATACTCCTACGATGCTGAGCTCGCAGGTTTGGACTATGACCTATCCCCAAGCGTTTTCGGCCTGGAGGTAGCAATCGTTGGATACAACGATAAGATGGCAGTGTTGCTCGAAAAGGTCCTGACCATCATGAGAGACCTCGAGATCAAACCGGACCGTTTCCGGATTGTCAAGGAGCGTATGGCTCGTGGGTACAAGAACGCAGATTACCAACTGCCATACTACCAGGTCGGAAGCTTCACCAGGTATTTGACCGCAGAGAAGGCTTGGATCAACGAGCAACTGGCCCCTGAGCTGGAACACATCCAGCTCGAAGATGTTGCAGCCTTTTACCCACAGTTGCTTCGCCAGACACATATCGAAGTCCTTGCTCATGGCAACTTATACAAGGAGGATGCCTTGAAACTCACTGACCTCGTTGAATCTATCCTCAAGCCCAGAACCCTTCCCCAGTCGCAGTGGCATGTACGCAGGAACATGATCATTCCCCCTGGCAGCAACTTCATCTACGAGGAGACCCTCAAGGACCCAGCTAATATCAACCACTGCATCGAGTACTACCTCTTTGTCGGAGCCTTGACTGAACCCCAACTGCGTACAAAATGCTTGCTCTTCGGTCAAATGACTAACGAGCCAGCATTTGACCAGCTACGTACTAAGGAACAGCTTGGATACGTTGTCTGGAGCGGTGCCCGCTATTCATCTACCACCATGGGATACCGTGTCATCATCCAAAGTGAGCGAGACAACGAGTACCTTGAATCTCGCATCGACTCTTTCCTTGAAAACTTCGGAGAGACCCTCACCTCGATGTCTGATGAAGAGTTTGAAGGTCACAGACGAAGCATCATCAACAAGCGATTGGAAAAGCTGAAGAACCTCAGCTCCGAAACCAGTCGATTCTGGACCCATATCGGCTCCGAATACTTTGACTTTACGCAGCACGAGGTCGACGCTGCTGTATTGGAGGATTTGACCAAGGATGATATCGTTGCCTTCTACCGCCAGTATATCGATCCCAACTCACCTACTCGTGCGAAGCTATCTATCCACATGAAGGCCCAAGCAAGCGCAAGCCTAGTTGCTTCGGCAGAGCAAAAAACCGCTGTCCTTGCAACAATCGAGCAGTTCCTCGGCTCTGCTGGAGCCAAGGTCGACACCGACAAGTTCAAGGAGGCGTTCAAGGACATCGCTATCTCCAGCAACAACCTAGATGGCATCGTCTCCACCGTACGCAACCACCTCACCTCCGCTCTCCAAATGGCCGAAGACGAAGCCACGAAGCTTCTAGAGCCAGCCAAGGCTATCCTGCCAACCGTGCTCTCCCAAGTCGGCATCAAGACCGTGGCAAACGGCGACAAAGAACCCGAATCAAAGCAAGATCCAACCCCAACTACCAACGGCACCTCCAACAACGCAGTTAGGCCACCCAGCCATAAACCAACATACATCACCAATGTGCCTGAGTTCAAGGCTCGCTTGGGTGTGAGCGCCGCAACAGTCCCCGTCGTCGAACTCTCTGAATTCGAAGACTTTGACCCAAAACTCTAAGAACCGAGTAAGAGCAACGAACAAACCACTTTCTAAGTCCGATAGATAGGTTTCATAAATTCTATTCTTCGCCTAGAAAAAATAGACTTTTCTTTTCTGCTTGGATAGTTTTGTCGGTTCTCAGTTCTAGCTGGTATGTATTATGAAGGTGGAGGGGGTTTTTTAGTCCGGGCATATCTCTCAAAAGGTGGCGCCATGGAGGCTGTGGTATGGATACGTTTATGTTAGATGGCTTCCGGGTCGAGATGCATGGTGTAGAGGCATTTCATTTTTTTCTTTCTGTTTTTTTTTTCTGGCAACAAGGCCCTACTTGATGTATGCAGTAGTGGCATAATCCTTTCAATAAAAACTAGATTATATGAAAAATGACGTTATCAATAGAGTTATTAAATAAAGTAGCTGATTAACATATTTCTTCCGTAGTTTGCGGAAGAACGGAGGGCAGATTATCTGCTCTAAGATCTCCTATTACGCCAAAACATACCTGCTCATTTGTGCATTTATGTATGGATCCCTAGATCCCTGCCAGTGGGTGCCTGGTGATCTGCTTCGTATTCGCGGACGGAGTAATAAATAACATAGTTATAGAATTTCATTTAGCGCCGGGGGTAAGTATATAGATGCTGGGAATTTTTTGAAGCAGATATCAAACACAAGCAGTGCAGCGAGAGGATGATTGATTGGATAAAAGGCATGTGGAATGCATGTATACGCAAATTGGAAGAGCCCGAAAAGGCCAAGTATTTCCATATACCCCATATATCGCGGTATGAAGGCTCAATGCATATATATGTGCCAGGGCCAGGTAATAAGTGCCCTGCAGGGGTGTCGATGTGGTTGCTGCCTCCGCTGGAAAAAACGCAGGTAGTATAAATAAAAGGCCCCTTTCATGTAGTTACCCAACTCACATACAACTAGCTATTCCACACAAGCTAGCTTTACAGCGCCTACAAGACAATGCGGGCTGCGTTCACACTCCTCCTCGCCGGTGTGGCTGCCACCACCACAGCTGCCGCGGACGACGACATCACCACCATCTTGCCCACCGAGGAGCCAACCGTCACCATTGATCCATGGCAGTGCTTGACCCAGAATCTTACCGAGTACTTCATCGTTCCGCGACCGACCGGCGCATTTTTAACAGCTATCCACTCCCACGGCAGCGAGCTGATCCAGGAATGCGCCACATTAACGCGAGAGTGCCTCTGACTGGTGCAGCCTCAGCACTTCAATACCCGCGTCTCAGTTACCGGCCTACTCCGCCTATGGCAGCTCAGCCTCTGTATGGTGGAAGTCACATAGCTCTGCGGCCTTCTCAGCCGCCGCAGAGTGTCCGCTTGGCTGGTACAACGCCATGCTTTCGATTCCTGGCGGTAGGACGTGGCTGAACCTGACCAGAATCTATGCTGGATGCCACGCCAATCCACAGCCAACCTCTGGCTCTGGACCCTCGAAGGGGATATCGATGACAACCGGGCCGACAGCTGTACCAGGCGCGGGAGCAACAGCTACAGACCTTATCCAACCTACTGCTACCCCTATGAAAAACAGCGTTCTTGGCTGGGCGGGAAGCAGGCCTGAGTTGCTAGCGGTTGCCGGTTATATCAGCGTCATGTTATATGTATTATAATCGGCCTTAGCTAGCCCCTTGTCCTTGTATAACTATAAGTCGGAAGACATCAACCCTGGCTCCAGTATGAATGTGAGATGCACGTAAAGAGGTGGTATTTACTCCGTACAGGCAACAGTCAAAGAGCCGCCTTTGTTCTAGACCCGCCAAGCCTTGGCGGCCAGGCGCCAATCGTTACTCCGTGTCTGTAGTCAATTCAGTATTGGAAGTTACTGGCCGAAACCACCCGCATGAGACACCTCCAGGGACAAGGAGAAAGACATGACCAAATGGCCAATCCTCAGCTTTATGAGGGGTACGTGGGTACGTGGCAGGGGTATTGTAAGTAATGCTTTGGAAATGACTTTACCGTCGGCTACGCTCGCAGTGTTGCCTGCCTGCTTTGGTGGCCCTGGCCTTGATATAAATATATAAGTTCCCGCCATCAGACCCGGATGTGCTTGTGACTGATACCCTACAAGAACATAAGCATCTTACTTATGCAGTGAAATTTAAACGAGCGTCCAACAACATTTTCCACAGCCTATCAACTGGCCAGCCCGCTCGCCAATATGCCGGAGCTTTACGACATCACCTACTCACGCGAGGAGTGCATTGCCGCAGTCCGTGGGTATTACCAGTTTCTTACCACCCTATACCTAAAGGAGAGCGTTATTTTGGAGCCACCAGAAGGAGGCTGGCCGTCGATTACCCCTAATGCCATACAACAGTTGGGCAAGACGGACGAAGTCGCGTCGCTACTACGATATCTTCCCTATATACGCTCGAATCGTTGTGGTGATGGACCCCAAACCTTTCCGTTCAGCGATTTTGCAAATTGGGAGGAGATTTGTGCCTCCCTAAATAAGGGTAGGTTACATCCCGAAGGTATTAAAATATGCTCAGAAGAAGATAATGTACCGCCTCATGTTATTGGTCTTACAAGTGGTGGGCTTTATAATTATAATCTTCTCCTCGACACAGAGCTCGGCGTTATTTATTAGCCAGAGTGTAATGGAGATATTCAACATGACCCCGATGCCCCTTGCGAGCGAGTTTGGGATGACCCGTATGAATACGCACCGATGGAGGCAGAGTGGCGCGCTGAGGGTGCATACTGGGCCATCCCCGACTTCTTTGAGATTCTTAAGGACCAGTTTCGCCGTCTGCTCTTCGTTCCGATTAATACACTCATTGTAAAAGATGTCTATAACTCACAGTACGGCGATTCAGCTGGGATTATCGAGTTTCTGCAGGGGATTTATCGAGAGCATGGCTGGCCTGACCTTGAACATTACAACAAGCTGGAATGTCTCAAAGCTATACGAAAGGGGCTGATGGAGAAGTATCCCGGCCATGTGGACTCTAACGAAGACCTGAACGAATAGATCTCTGGTCATGTATGAGGCATGCATGGTGTTGAGGTTACCGCATACATTCTCAATATAAAACATCATACGTGGCCAAATGCTGAGAACGGGGAAGGAAATAATAACCAATGTTTTGCCACGCTGTTTGAAATGGGTCAACCATTATTTAGTTCTTAATGAACTTTCAAGAACTTGTCTGGAAGCATTGCCAGCCATCGGCCTAGTACGTTGTTGATGTATCTAGTCGAGAACACAAGCACTCTTATGCTACTCGATAGGCGTGCATAGCTGTTAATATACTAGCTAGGGGCTGTTATTATCACACTCAATCAGAGGGTGACAGTGAAAATAGGATTTGGAGCCTCAAAACTCTATTTTAGACCAGTTAATTTAGTCACATGATATAGCTCGGAATAATTAAGTGATTAGACGGAATATAAAATATCCGCATATCGGTCACCTGACTGGAGCTAGGGCCGAACTGCATCTGATAGCAAGAAGAAAGGCACAACCAGAAGCTCAGAGCTGCAAGCACCAACAGGATAGATTGGTGCAATCCTCTGAAGGATTAAACGAGTATATTGAGTGACCTGAAAGGGTATCGGAAACGCAACCTTCCACGACATATTAACCACCATGTCCGCCGTATCCCCAATCTCCTTGCAAAGTTCACGGCCGTAAGTTGCCTTACTCGAAGTTACCGCCAGCCCAAGTGACATTTTGAGAGCCAAACGCAGTATCTCTTCGTGTGCGGGTTTGTTACTTTTTGATATATGCTGATGTATACTTTGCTTCAGACCTATCATACCCGAATCATTCTCCGCAAACCAACCAAAGACCATCAGACTATATCCCCTTTCAAACTATACATTTGGCACCAAGGAAACACAACCCGAGGAAGACCCTTCAGTGCTTGCGCGCTTGAAGCGCTTAGAAGAACACTACGAGCAGTATGGAATGCGCCGGACCTGTGAAGGCGTACTAGTATGCCACGAACATAACCATCCACATGTTCTCATGCTACAGATCGCAAATGCCTTCTTCAAACTGTAAGTATTCAGACCGAGTTATTGCATACTACATTTGAGTTTGCTGAAGGGTTTTTCCACTTAGGCCTGGTGATTATCTGCAACACTCAGACGATGAGATTGAAGGGTTCAAGGCAAGATTAAATGAGAGACTTGCGCCAGTCGGATCGCAATTCACTGGTGAAGGAGTCAATGAAGATTGGGAAGTTGGCGACACCCTGGCGCAATGGTGGCGACCAAATTTTGAAACATTTATGTACCCTTTCCTTCCAGGACATGTTACTCGACCGAAAGAGTGCAAGAAGTTATATTTCCTTCAGCTTCCCAAGAAGAGTACGTTGCGTCCCGTTTTAACGCCCAGTTTGCCCCCTGGGGCTGAGTTTAAAAATTCGGCACAGGGACATGATACTAACATTCTATATAGAGGTTCTCTCAGTCCCCAAAAACATGAAACTCCTTGCAGTACCCCTCTTCGAATTATATGACAACACGGCGCGCTATGGACCCCAGCTTTCGGCTATCCCCCACCTATTATCTCGGTATAACTTCGAGTTTGTTGATGAGAACGATAATGTTGTGGCCGTTACACCCGGTCACCAGGCTGCCAATGGAGTACATCCAAAGCCCAAAGTTCTGGCAGGCGGAGAAGACACCGCGAACGGACAAGATATTGGGATGGATGAATTCGCTCCAGGTGACCAGGAGTAACTTTGCTGTTTCTCTGTTTGTTCAGTTTTTTCACTGGTAGATATCTAGCCTAGGCCGCATGTGCTTGTTTCATCTCTCTGCTTTCTCAATGGCTGCTATTGAAGGCTTCATCTTTTTGTTATGGGGTGGTTTAATTTATGGGTAAATCAATGGTCAAACAAGCTAATTCTATCAAATGATCAGCTAATTCCATAATCCTCACATTTCTATATTCAATTGTATCGGGGTTAAGGTCTCTTTTCTATACTGGGGAATAAACATTATATGTTGGGATACCATTGGTTGGTATACGGTGTGCAGGTAAAACAAATCAAGGCAGCTATTTAAGCCGAGGCTGAAGAGATATTGTTTATTTCTTGGTGACGTCGTTCCTAGGCAGTTCCGCAACAACACCTACACTTGTATAATGCAATAACAACACCAGCCAGCCCATATTCTACTCCCTGTGGCTCTATGAGCCTTACTTAGCCTTACAATACCAGTCTAAACCAATATTCACCGAACCTGGGCACGCACTATGCTTCTCATAGGCTTAACTGGCTCGATAGCCACCGGCAAATCGACCGTCTCGTCCCTCCTAGCCTCCCCTCCTTACAACATCCCCATAATCGATGCAGATGTACTTGCCCGAAAAGTCGTGGAGCCAGGGACTGCTGGATACCGTGCTATAGTCGACTACTTTGGACCTACAACTCCTGATCTTTTACTCCCCGAAGAACAGCCTGGTAAAGGACGGCCCTTGAATAGACCAGTCCTCGGCAGACGGGTATTTGGCGACTCTCCAGAGCGAAAAAAAGATCGATCAGTTCTTAATGGCATCGTACACCCTGCTGTGAGATGGGAGATGTATCGTGCCTTACTTTGGTACTACATACATGGCCATTGGGCTGTGGTTTTGGATGTTCCTCTACTTTTCGAAAGTGGATTGGATGCTCTTTGCGGGACTGTTATCGTTGTTGGAGTCAAAGACCCAGCTGTTCAGATGCAGAGACTACGTGCCAGAGACCCCCACCTTAGTGCTGAAGATGCAGAGAATCGTGTGAAGAGCCAGGGTGATGTGCATGGAAAGGTTGAGAGAGCAGAGTTTAGGGGAACTGAGAGTGCAAGAGGTGTTATTGTCTGGAATGATGGCGATAAGGCGGAACTGGAAAGCGAGGTTAGACGAGCAATTACCCATATCAGCTCGACGAGTCCGCAGTGGTGGGCATGGGTTTTACTACTGGTGCCTCCGTTAGGAGTTGGAGTAGCAGCATGGAACCTAGCCAGGAATTATAGGGAGAAGGCAAGGTGGGAAGAGAAGCAACGAAGTGATAAAGCAAAACTGTAATGGAGACCTAAAGGTCTACAACTTTTCAGCCATTTAATATATAGCGCAGATATGTAGCCATAATAATAACTGGGTATCATTAAGGAAATACAAGAACACTCTAGATGCCAATCAATCTATAATGTTACCGACGCGGATAATACGCTCAAAACTAATATCGCTGGCCAAAAAAATGAATATATCTCCTAGGGAAAGGTAGAAAGGTTATTGCCGATTCTTCCAATTCTTCCCTTTATTTGAGGCATTGGCGCTGATGCCTCCTCCTGATGATATTCTGCCCGTTTTTGCGGAACGACTAAGACTGGCTTTCTCTGCATTACTTCCGGTATTTAAATCTGATTTAGGGGTTTCCGGTAATTCAGGAGTCTGTGGTAGTCCAGGTTAGCTATAAACAAGGAAGCAACATTTGTGAAGTACTCACCTCAGTTTGACGTTTCTTCTTAAAACCCCCATAGCTTTTCCTCCCCGTAAATGTAGTCTCATCTTCTTCATCCTCTATTTTGCCTATTGATTTTCGTGGCGTTGCAGCTTTCAAAGTCCCTGGAGGATACTCTAACACCCACTGGGTTTCTCCTGCATCTGCAGCTTGCCGCGCTATAGCCGCTGATCTTTTACTGTCCTCGGCTTGAATTGCAGCTGATATTGCTTCTATATCAGAGTTATTTGAAAGTGCTATGGATGGTTCGGAGGGTATGACTTCTGCAAGTTTTCGTCGCTTTGAGCTTGGAGAAGATGTATCTTCGGCGCGTTTCCGGCCTGACGGAGACGCTGGGGGTGATTGAGCAGGGGATGAGTTACTGCTAACTCCAGAAGCGGCTGCTCGTTGCATAAACTAGTTTAAATTGTAAGAATGAACCCTGAATGAAGTTATAGAACAGTAACGGACCTTCATGGTTAGCAACCTCGAGGACATGCCCTTTGGTTGCGACATGGTTGCAGATGCTGTAGTTAGTAGTCGCGTAGAGCAGATATATCAATAGAGAAACTCAAAGAAAGTTCCCAGAAAATCCAGAAAATCCAGAGTTATTATCTTGCAACAATATCCTCCTTTCTGCCCTGTCGCTGCTTCTATTTATCTGCGATCTTGATGCCGAAGCGCGATAAAATAAATTTTAATGTTCAGCCAAGCGCCGTCGCTTGCGCGCTTAAAGCGGCAACAGCCAAACCACCTCTCATATCGAAACAAATCAAATCCACCCGTCTTCAACAACTGCGAGTACAACCCACCGTATCCGGACCACCAGAATGTTGTCGTCTACACGATCACGGCTGTGCCTTTTCACGGCGCAGTCGTCCCGTTTCGTCCAGCGAGCCACCTACACCTCGACCGCACCTCGTTTGAGTGAGAACACGATTCCCACGAACAACCCAAACCCTTCGAAGCCGGTAACGAGCATATCCGAGACCAATGCCAGACAGCCCGCATCGATGCAAGAGACAGTTGAGCAGGCGCAGAAGCAGCTTTCTATGCAGGCTCCAAACCGAGCCACTACTTGGGCAAAGAGTCAGCAAGAGCGGTCCAAGGCCATGGCTGGTCCACGATTTGAGCAGACAATTATCGATTTCCAGGTCAGTTGATTGAGTGTAGCCGTCTTATGAGACTGCAGATAAGATAATTAAGAGATCCTGTTTCAATTGGTCACTCTACGTGTTGTTCTGGTGAATGGCGGGCTAATTGATAATAAAATATAGCCACAACCCTATGCTGCCATTGATTTGATCCACAAGCAGCCCGTACGATGGACGAAGGAGAGAATTGTATCGTGTGACGGAGGCGGTGGCCCGCTCGGCCACCCCAGGGTTTTCATCAACACCGACAAGCCCCAGATCTGCCCTTGCGAGTACTGCGGTCTTCCTTTCGTGGGTCACCCTTACAAACACCAAGGATATATCTGTTTAGCCATGTTTAGCTAACATGTCTGTATCTATAGGCAAACGAACACCACCGTGCAGTCCTCGAGGCTCAGCCAAGGACTTCATACCCACTTGAGCCTACCGGAGATGCAGCCGAGGTTAACGAAACACAACGTATTACTCCATCTGGCTTTGAGCAGCGATAGGTTTAATTCATAGTGTGACCATTTCATATTACTGTTTTACAAATCAAGATTCTGTATCCGTTAGTACATCCTACCAATGTATCTTTGGTTTCGTTTAGATTGTTCTTGTGAATACAAAGGCTGCGACCATCTAAGCCCCTGGATATTCAAAATGTCAATTGTAAGCACAATGGCATAAGTCCGGCATGATAAAACACGATTCTTTGGTATGAAATCCGCAGCCGGTATAAACCTCAACCTAAAACAATTACAGTTGCGATTTGACCCAGTTTGGTTGTCTCTTCTCTCGGAATGCGGCAAGGCCTAGAAAAGAACACTAGGTTAACCGCGGGATAAATAGACAGAGGGATACTGAAGAATGCCATCTTACCTTCAACCATGTTCTCACTTTCATAGAGTTTCTTATCATATCGCGCCTTGGTGTTTCCAACGGCAACCTCTACATTTCCTGTCTCCCAGGCTTCTCTAAGTCCAGCCTTGGTGACAATAAGAGCATCGGGGCTCAGTTGAGAGATCTGTCTAGCAAGCTCCAATGTCTCTTCGATCAACGATTCATGAGTCTTGGATATACGGTTAACGAACTGCCATGCTTTGCCTTCCTCAGGAGTGATAACTCGGCCCGTCATGGCAATTTCGGATGCAATCTGTAGCCCGACAATACGCATTAGACGTGCCAGCCCACCGGCGGCAGCATAGATGCCACGCTTTGCTTCAGGTAGAGAGAACCGAGCCTTTGGCGAAGCAACAACCATGTCACTGAACAAGCATGATCAGTATTGGATTGGCTATTGGTAAGGTATAAGGCACTCTAAACATACCAGTTTAAGCAAATCTCAAAGCCGCCGCCAAAAGCAAATCCGTTAACAGCGGCAATGATAGGTTTCTTTCCTCTCCTTTGGCTAATACCCGCAAACCCTGATTTAGGGTGTCCTGTCAAATAAGGCTCAGGGGGAGGATTCATGGCATTCTTTTCAATCTCTATCAGGTCTTGTCCAGCACAGAATGCCTTGTCACCCGCCCCAGTAATGATGGCAACCTGCATGGACCCTTCATTTTCAAACCAGGTCCAAAGTTTCTCAAAGTCCCAGTGGCCCTGGAATGGGATTGAGTTCATATGCCTGGGGCGGTTTATAGTTGCTAGTAGTACCCCTTTTTCTGGGTAAGACAGAGTGTAAATGGGAGATTCCGGAGGGTCGGACGAGAACGACATGATTAGAGGTATATTTCCTGGTATTTTTCACAGTATATAGAATATGTAGACCTGATATGTTGAGTATATCACCGTATTATACAGAATAGACATCTATGCTTGACATATGGAGTATATATGTTGTTGTCGTTGTCGCCCTTCTAGCTAGCAAGCTCCGCCGCGCTATATCCGGCAATTCCTCGGCTCTTTAGCCCCAGGCCGAGGCCCGCTTATATAAGCGCACTATCACCAAATATCGCGCACTTTGCGAATTCTTCACTTTTAACGTCAAACAGGGACAGATTTAAAGCTGCAGGGAGTAGAAGAACGCGAACAAAAAGACTGTCCTGCGATGCCCTGTCGAAGTCCAAGATGAGGGACAGGTTGGAAAGCTACCTATGGCAAGGTAGCTGGAAGACTGGTTACTTGACATGACGTCATATCATTTCTTTGATATAGAACAGGTCCAGCCTTCAGCTATACAGTGTATCGGGACAACAAAACCGATATACAATATTATGGCCCTTCTGAGTACCCAATATGGTGCCACACTCGTCTGAAGACAAATGGATGACCAACCCTCCGTACGGGCGTGGACCAGAGAACGAACCCTTTGGTGAAGTGCAATGGCGAGCACGCTGTCAATGCCAGCGGATTGAATATGAAATATGTCGGCGGGAACCGTTGGACTCCAAGTTTTGCCACTGTAATGGCTGCCAGACATTACACGGTTAGCAATTCTTAGCTACTAATATCTGTCTTTGCTGTTAGCCATTGAATTTCTAACAATTGCTCAAGGAGCACCGTTTCAATGGGCGGCCATCTTTCACAAGGACGATGTCCAGTTTGTGCGCGGCCACGAATCGCTGTACTTTTATAATAGCTCTACCAAGGAGCCGGTCCACAGCCTCCCATGCAAGATCTCTTGTTCGAACTGTCACTCCTTGATCATGGATGAAGGGAGACATGTTCTTCTTGTTTACCCGGAGCTGATCAAGCATGACACTGGGCCAGAGCGTCAGACATTAAAAGACATTTTCTATCCCAAGTATGATTTGGACTGGCCACGGATTGAACGCGCATCGTGGTGTTGCATGAGATACTAACTGTGGTGGTCCTAGGTCGCATATGTTCTACTCGCAGCGAGTAGTTGATATTCCAGATGGCAGGCCAAAGTGGACGGGAATCAATGGCTCAAGTGAATTGATGGAAGGAGAGCCGTAGTAGACTTGAAGCTTCTTCGTGTAGCCCGCAGTACCGATAAACATCGTCAATAGCTGCCTCTCTCTTCCATGTATATAACCAACTTTTCTATCCTAATAATCGCAGGTTATAACGCTCTTTGGACCGCCTACTACCGACTCTATTTTTACCTATTTCTATTTCTATTTCGTTACTCGTAACTGGTGGTTTAACCAACTAGCCGCCCCGCATTCATGACGTCGTGGTCGCAAACCACATCAAACCGCGCTTCGTGGTTTCACATCTTCTTCATCCTCATATTCATCCTCGCTTTCTTCCCAAACCTCTTTGTCACCGTCCCCTACTTTCTCTACCAACTGCTCTCCTCGTCCTCTACGCCGCCCGAACCGCCTCAGCCGCAGCTCCAGCCGTGCTCAGCTATCTGCATATCCGCAATACCCACCATGTCCTGGTTCCAGAAACGGATCACTCTCCCCAGCCGTTCGCGAGGATCATATCTTGTCACAGACCATATAGTATCTCAGATCCCAGAGATTTCCACATACAAGACCGGCATACTCCATCTCTTCGTCCAGCATACGAGCTGCGCCTTGAGCTTGAACGAGAACTATGACTCGGATGTTCGAGCCGATATGACTGATGCTTTGGACAGAATCGCACCTGAAGACCACATGGGAGCCTTGTACCGCCATAGTGCAGAGGGACCAGATGACATGCCGGTATGGGAAATTACCTATACACTGCATTGAACTACACTAATATAGCTAACTTGCTCTTATCCTTCTACTTTAGGCCCATGTCAAGTCCTCTCTGGTCGGTGCCTCTGTGACAATTCCAATTACGAACGGGAAACTAGCTACAGGAACATGGCAGGGCATATGGTACTTGGAATTTCGCACCAGTAAGCATACCCGGAATGTCGTGGCTACGATCCAAGGAGAAAAGGCATGACCGGAAAGGGAAAGTCAACTCTAGTTCAGCTTGTGACTTGGGGGCGTAGATAACTAGTTCATATTGGTTAGAAGATTGAGTTGGGAGATTGGGGCTGGCATACATAAACGACGAGGCTGTAGCCAACAGTACATGAGACTCGAAAGAGATGCATCTAGCCCCTAACTATCACAATATAAGCTCTTAGAATATGCTGGCGGCCTATAAACAGCTTGTACATAGAGCATGCTGCAGTTTCCTCGCTAGTATCCAGACATGTCCATAGCCTCATTCTGACATGGCTATTAGCTTGTAAAGTAAATACATACGCCTCTGGGGTATAAAGCAGTCTGGAAAATGCTGGGGGGGTTGATACCTGTTGCATCTTCTAAATAACTGCTATATTCGCTATTTGACTAGAAGGACGAACCCGAGTAACTGACGACAGCGATAGTAACAAACAAGGAACGACTGTCCTTAGCAGAAGAACCATTATGTTCTCTTTCTCTCAAAAGAAGCCTGAAAAGAAACGACTCTACGTTGCGCTGTACCCCAGCGGAGTCGTCAACAATGAGGAACGCAAGTGAGTGCAACTGGATTTACCCTCGTATAACATAGGCTCATTTATGTTATAGATACCACTGGGCCTTTCTAGTTGGACCTAAGGTCGAGGACGCAAACGAGGTGCCTGGAGATCGCTATCACGTCAAGAATAGCCCCCTTGGCGTGTGGGAATACGAAGAGCTTCCGCTTCGCAATGTGAGAAACACAGTCAACTTGCTAGTACGCCTTGTTATTGGGAAAGTAGAGGACGAAGAAAGGTTGATAAAAATCTTCCGGCAAGTTCCTCTTGTCCAGAATGACGAAAGCTGGAGGTGCCGTACTTGGGTTAAGGAGGCTCTGGGCGCAATAGCAAAGGATGGTCAGGCGGTCGGGTCCGCCGTACTCGAGTGGGAGAAGATTGAAGCAAAAGCGAGAAGCTATGTTGCTGATAAGACTGCCGGAGGACGGTTTAACTCTGTCGAAAAGCTTGCACATCCCAAGCCTACCTGGGATATGACGGAAAACAAAGAGGAGATAGCATAAGACTGGGAAGTCGGAATTGGCTGGCTCCCTATATCAGGCTTATCGGTGATGGGGAAATATGAAAAAGTATGAAGCATGCTCTACCAGAGTAGGCGATGGATGGCTCCCCCTGTCACTCTGGGTACAAATTCGTGTCATAACACAGTAGGAGGCATACGAGATAACGCATAATTATTTCGGGTATCAATATGAATTATATCTCTCCCCACCATCTTTGCCGAGTTCTCTCCATCTTTAGCTGTTTGGTGTAGGGGTCCAGGAAGTTTCCTATCATGCCCTGCCACTGTGTCTTGGTGTACATGACTTGATATGCAGAGGTATATTCCCAGTAAGACGGATACCAACCAGCAAACTCCCAGTCAATGATGCCGACCACCTTGTCTCCTTGAACGATGATGTTTGATGGGTTCATGTCTCCATGAGTAAAAACAGGTTCTGGCCAGGGACCATCTTGCATCTTCACCATTTCCTTGATATCTTCCCATTCATCGGATTCTAGGTTCTTTGGCTGATCTTCAGATGGTTCCAAGCCGTCCCTGAGCCAAAGATGGAAGTTCTGGATGGTTTTGAAAGGCCCAAGCCGTGGTTGACAACGCGCAATCCTGGAGTCGTATAATGATCCACCAGCAAAGCTATGCACGCCTGTACCTGGAGGGGGCTCCAGTGCTCGTAATTCTTCAAACATGTCCTTCAACTGAGTGAATATATTTTCACTGGACTCTTCTGAGCATTTGCCTATAACTGATGCTAGGCTGGTACCCTGTACCCTCTCCATTACGATATACGCACGATTCTTGTGGACAAACGCGCAGTAGACCTTGGGAACTGGAATGGAAGTGTTCTCTGCAATGAATTGCATGGTCGCTGCCTCCGTTAAATGTACCCATGGTCCAGTCTTGACGATCATGTGCCTTGATATGGGGATGCAGCAGCCATCGCGCTTGAAGAATCTGGCGGTAGTCTTGAGCGCGAGCAGGGTAAGAAACCGCCGTATCCACGTAGGCTTTACGGCAAGCTCCTCCCAGCCTGTATGATCCGTGCAAGTCAACATCTCTCAATTCTCTGTTTCTTCATGGTATGAGCCTACCGAAGCAAGCAGAGCTATTCTGAAGAGAAGATAGCAGGAAAACCAGCAACTAAAAGGAGAGAAGAGGCTGACGCCAAAAAGAAGAAAAAAAAGAGCAAAAAGAAAAGTGACAAGGGTGGGATTCGAACCCACGCCCTCAAGGAGGACCAGAATATCTTGTGGTGGTGATCACCGCTGATTATTACTGATTAAGGTTAGCCTTAATCTGGCGCCTTAGACCGCTCGGCCACCTTGCCGGTGTTGATGTTAGAGCCAGGCGGAGGTGGCTTCTTGAGGACATAGCGTAGCCTTCCCCTCAGCGCATTCTCTCGAACCTTGAGAAGCGCGTCTCCCATCGGCCATGCAAGGAGCCCTGCTGAAATACCCGGCCACCGTGGCTTTTACGCCATGCCTGGGGTACTCTCTGGGCATGGTACTTCCTCTTCCTGTATACTGTTGGAATAAACACTCTAGGAGTGGCTCTACATTTGGTGGTTGCTGGTCAAGGATTGAAATTTCAGCATCATGGAGGGTCAAGGACGGCTACGAGGGCTGGGGAGTAACAACCCGGATATCCCCCACCCGGCATCAATAACTCGTCCTATGGTCTCTGAGGAATGGGATTACGCCTCGCCAAGTGGCTATCGTGTCTCTGAGCATATGATCAATGAGCCACGTCCGGGAAAGGAACCCTTTAAGATCATCATGGCTGGCTGCGGCCCCGCGGGAATCGACTTCCTACACCATGCTATGAAAGAGTTTGGGACAAAGGGTGACTCTGGAGTGGAATTCATGTGTTTTGAGAAGAACCATGATGTTGGTGGTACGTGGCTGGAGAATAGATACCCGGGCTGCGCCTGTGATGTGCCGAGTGCAAGCTACCAATTCTCCTGGCGACCAAATCCAGATTGGACGAAGTATTATTCTCCCGCAAAGGAGATTTGGGAATACTTCAAGAGGATAGTCGAGGAAGAGAGCATGGTGAAGTACATACGATTGCGAACTGCAGTCACTCGAGCAGAATGGGACGAAGAAAGATCTAAATGGCTGATTACTGCCCAAGAGACGGACATGGCTGGCACCATTGTTGATACGTGGATGGAAGAGTGCGACTTATTCCTCACAGGAACAGGAATCTTGAAGTGAGCATGGTACTTTTCTTTACTACTTATCTCTTGTAGTAAGTACTCATTAGATGCTTATACTGAGGAAAAGTGCGTGGAAATGGCCAGACATACCCGGACTTATGTCCTTCAAAGGCAAGCTGTTTCATAGCGCACGGTATGATGAAGGCTATGATTTGAAGGGCAAAAAGGTTGCAGTTATTGGCTCCGGGAGTTCAGGGGTCCAGGCAGTGGCGTCTATATACAATGACGCTGCTAGACTGTATACCTGGGTGAGAACCCCGACTTGGATCACTGCTGGATTTGGACCCAAATTTGCAGGCGAAGGGGGATCGAACTTTTCCTGTGAGTGAATGCATTTTTTTTTTCGTAAGTGAAGCATTGCTAATCTGATATCAGATGATGAAGACCAAAAGAGGATATGGAGGGATGACCCTGAACGGTACAGAACGTACAGAAAGATGGTTGAAGATGAACTGAACAGTAGGTTTCGATTTATTCTAAGAAATAGCAAAGAGTCAGATGATGCAAATCAGGTTGGTCAACACTTAATATCTAGTTACTAGTACGGCCGAATTTCTAACTGGTATCTGATAGTTCTCTTATAACGAAATGACGTCGAAGCTTGGAGATAACCAACGACTGAAAGATACAATCATTCCAACTAACTTCAACGTAGGCTGTCGACGCGCTACTCCAGGAAACGGATATCTCGAAGCACTCGTGGGCGAGAAAACAACCTGCATTACCGAAGCTATAAAGCAAATCACCGAAAAGGGATTCCTTGACCCAGATGGGAAAGAGATAGAAGTAGATGTCATAATCTGTGCCACCGGATTTGACACTTCATTCCGTCCACGATTCCCCATCATAGGTCTTGATAAAAAGGATATAGCTACCCGTTGGGCTGAGGAGCCAGACGCCTATGTAGCAGTCAGCGTACCCCATGTTCCAAATTACTTCACATATACCGGCCCCTATGGACCCTTGGCGCAGGGCTCTGTGTTGCCCCTGCTCACCTTATACTCCAACTACTTCATGACCGTCATCAAAAAGATGCGCAAAGAGCATATTCGCCGCCTAAGCCCCAAGGAGAGTGCGGCTGCTGCTTTCCGTGAGCATGCTAAAGTCTACATGAGGCGTACGGCCTGGGCAGATCCGTGCAGCAGTTGGTTCAAACAGGGAAGGAAAGACGGTAATATCGTGATGTGGCCGGGCAGTCGTCTGGCTTTCTTCGATGTCATGCGCGAACCCAAGTTTGAAGATTATGAGATTGAATACTGGAGTGGGAATCGATGGGGGTATTTGGGTAGTGGCTTTACCACGGAAGAATTTGACGGTGAGAGTGATATTAGCTATTATTTGAATTGTAGGTTGTACCCGGATATGGAGAGGCGAAAGGAAAAAGACGAAAAAGAAGCCTGTCCATTGGAAAAAGTGGATGTCAATGGCCTGTTGCCTTGTACGCCTGGATATAGCGGTGTATACACCGAAGCTCGTCCGTGAACCTGGACTAATTGCATCTTTGATGCAATCGATTAATTCATTATTCCTGAATCTAGCACAATGGCAAAGCTCAACTGCAGCTATTTACAAGAATCGAAGAATGTCACACACCTGGGGAAACAGAAAGATGAAGCTCAATTAAATGCGATTATAGGGATGATAAGGATACAGGCATCACTCGTCATGACTTGTTCTATGTGGTATCATAAATTCGTAAGAGCGCGGACGGGAAGGTATATTCCTCGGTGCAAGAGAAGGGAGTAAAAACAAAGGTGTGTGTGGCAAAGGCTGAACTTTATGCTCCAGGTGGCGACGTTATTAAAGCATAGGCTTCTCTTGGACTCAGTCCTAGGAAACGGACAAGGTATGAAACACTATTTGGCAAGTGGTTAGTAAATACAATATAACCATCACATCAGTTAATAAGGGGCTACATACCTAGCCTCAGTAGCCAGACGTTGTTTTTCAGCGAGAAATTCTTGCTGGCAAATTTCCCAGGTTGCCGTTCGCTGCTTTGGGATTATGGACTTGACTCGTATCTTGAAAGTACCGCTGACCGGTCTGTGGTCGGATACGCGAACTTCATGCCGCCTATACTCCAACTGCTTGATGCGACCAAAGCCACGATATAAGAGCCGATCACACCAAGCCGGTGCTCGCTTTTTCTCGCTTGAATCATAATCATCAGTGCCAACATCATACTTATATGTTGGCGCAAAGGTTATGGGCGCTTCATTGAATGTGCGAAGCCGGAACGCGGGATTCTTGCGCTTTGAGGCTAGGAGTTGGTCTCGATCAAGCAATTTTGGGAGATTATTGGCTTTGACAGCTTCAATCACCGTGTTTCGGGGAATTGAGTCAATGCGGTAATTGAGGTCTCCATTTAGTATGCAGATTTCATGGTCGAGAATCATGGATCCGTCTCCACCACCAGCAAAGCGGTCAATCCGGGCCGACAGGCTGGGTTCTCTAGGAAGTGCTTCGCTTTCCATTATGGCAGCGATGTCGTTGTTTCTGTGTGCGGTTTGGCTTTGGCCAGCAGCTAAGTGGCAATTGACGAAGCACAGAGAACTATCATCCATAAGGAATCGAAGAATGAGCGCACCCTGATGGTAACCAATTAGTGATGTGGCGATAGGAGCAGTGCAATAGGCACATACGTACCTTATTTCCGTGAAGACCGCCCATTCCCCGTTTAACCTCCGCTGCGCTTACGTTCGTGATCCTTTCGCGCGTTTCTTGCCGTACGAACACACAGGTAAACAAGCCAATCAAGCTTGCAGTGTGGAGCAAGACGTAGGACTCATTATTCGGCATATGCTCACGAATACAGAGCGCAAGATAATCCTTCCAGACACGGTATTGCCTACTCATCCTCTCCTTGTCGGCGTCCTTCTTTTTTCCCTTGAGGAAACTCTCTGGAAATGACGTTAGTGGGCCTATGGTGTGACCACATGGGTAAGGGTTTACTCACTGGCAGTGATTTTCTTGTCTTCAAGGTCGACAAGTTCTTGAAAGCCGAATACCAAAATGTCCGGGGCGCTTTCAGGGTGAATAGCATCTCGAATGAAATTGCTATTCGGTAATTTGCCAGGGACAGTTGCACCAGCATTCCAGGTAATGATTGCAGCTGAAATTTCGCTGAATTGGCAATATTCGACGTCTTTACTTTGCATCCTGGTCTCTGTAAGGAGGATTAGTTTGTGTATAAAGAACAAAAAGGGGGTTTAACATACCAAGCCAGTCCTCTTCGAGCATGGCATCCCAAATACGAAGATAGTTATCGACGCCAAGAGATACAACTTGGAGCTTGTTGACAGTCCACACGGAGCTCAGATCAAGTGCTATCCCGCATACTCCATGGTTATGGGCATTCCAGTCCTTTTTAACTGTCCACGGGTTCGTTGAAGTATCGTATACGTAAATCATGCCGGTCTTATAACTTGCCCATAGATAGCATCCAACCATAGCCAGAGAACTAATCTTGTACATGCTGACGGTGACAGTACCAAGATAAGAATAGTCCTTTAAACTGTATATCGTCACTTTGCCGTCTGCGTGCCCGAGGTATACCATACCCCCGTTGCTCGTGGCCATTGTTCCGCAGGTTACTTCACTTGAATGGTGTTTACCAAGAGGTGACTTGAGAACTTGAAAGGCGGCATCATTTGCATGGGGTTTGTAAAGCCGCACTTCCTTACCAGTAGCAAACCAGATGGTATCTCCGACAAGCATTGAAAAGGTATGCCCTTTCACCATGCGGTCATATGGGTGGTGGTAACTGTATTGGAGATTTGGCGCACCCGACTCATCCGCAGCCCATACTAAGAGCTTTCCTTCATCATCTAGAGACCAGAGTTCCTTTTGATACCTGTATATCCTGATGATTTCTCGACGAGAGTGAGCTGGTCGTGTGTTGACAATTGACTGGGTCCTAACGTCAACCTCCTGTAGCTCTCCGGCAGTAGTACCAATCCATATTATTGCTCCTTCTTCATCAACAGTTCTGCCTGGTTTGAATGCAATTGCAGAGCCTTTCACTGTTTCACCATGGTTCAAGCTCATGATCATTTCTCCAGTAGTAAGGTCCCAAACCCTGGTATAGAAGCCCGTTGTACATGCGTATTGTCCGCATACGTCAAATACTCGAGTATCATACTTAGTGTAAACATCAGCTGCTCCAGACCTGAAAAAGGGAGGGCGACGGTTTGTATGGGCAGCATCTGGGTGAATATCTGTATCGGTAACAACAACGGTTTCTGCACGGCGTGTGAGCTGCTCCAGAGACTTGATTGCATCCTGATCATTGGATGCCGCTGCAGCTGGTGGTCGATATCGAGTTGGAGGGTTCGACGGCGGAGGTGGAGGACGGTTTGGATTTTGGCTTGACTTGGTAGAGAGATTACTTGTTTCTCTTCGGGGAGGCGGAGGCGGTGGAGGTGCCGGTTTAGAGTGTTTGATGCTTAGTGACCGAGGTGGCAGCTTGTATGCATTTGGTGTCTGAGGCTCCACGGCAGATACTACTCTTTGAGGGCTTGGTAGGTCTTCTCTGTGCAACCCCAAAACAGCCCGAGATGTTTCCAACCTACGTGGCGGCGCGGGAGAAGGACGTCGTACCGACGGATTCTGCCTGAAGACTTGCTCATCATCGTCATTTTGCCGATTCAAGAGCTGTGTGCTAGGAACAACAGTTGTAGTTTTTGCGCCTATAGCTGGGGGCAGGCGAGGTGATATTGCGTTGGGAACCGTGCCACTGATAAGATTACCCTTTGTTAGCCTTGAAACCGGAGGCCCTTCTCGGGAAATTGGTCCTGGCGAAGGCCGTGGAGCTGGCTGCGATTGTTGTATTCGACTTGTGATATGGTTATCGCCCAAAGCCAGTGGTTCGGGAACTCCATTGGGCTTTTGTATTCCAGGTGTCTTCTCCGGGCTGCTCGGAGGAGTACTGAACGGCGACACTCTATCATCCATTGACGTACGCTGGGACGGAGGTAATGGAGCAAGGGAATTCGAACCTGAAGGATCACGGCTGGGCGAGATACCTGGTTTCCGAAGAGGGATCTTGGGCTTCTCCGCCCTATTCACGGGCGGTGGAACCGAAGCGCTCTTCCCGCCATTTCCAGTACGCTGACTCACTGGAGTTGTACGCCTGATATCTATGGGTACGGCGTGTGAAGGGCTGTCGAGTGGTGTCGTTGGGCGAGTAGAGGTGCGCGAGGATGATGGAGGGCTGCTGGAGGGCTCGTTTGATGTCGCATGACCATTCGGTGCATGGAGGGTGTGGGGTGCGCGGCTCTGGTTATGCGGGAGGCTCTGGCTGTACGAGAAGTTTGGCTGCGGCGGAGCTCGAGACGATTCCACGGTATATATCGGCCGCCCAGGAGATGTTGATTGTAAATTCATAGATAGCGGACGCGGCTGAAGGCGTCGGGTAGGCGAATCTCCTGTCTGTTGGGGCCGTAGGAAGCCCTGGCTCGGTCTCTGCCCACCTCCCCATGTGGTGTTTGATCGAGGCAGATCCAGTGAAACTCGGCCTGCTGAGACATTATCCGCTGCTGCTGGTGTTTTCAACAATGATCCCGGCCCTTCCTGAGCTTCACGTTTGGTATGGGAGAGATTCTCAAAGTGGGATAGCAGCGACGAAACCGGCTTCTAAATTTGTTATAGGCATGCCAGTTAGCTTCCACGGGCTCTCAACATAGAATAGTAAGGTAGAGCAGGAGTTTGCGACTGACGATAGACTGCTGGTCCGTTCCATCTTCCTCGTTTGCATTCATAGTTAAACGCCTGGTGGTAGCCGCAAGCTTCGTAACTCGAGTAAAATCACTACCGTTCCAAGGCAGCCACCCAAGACTCTCTCAGCGGTTCGAAAGCTGTAACATCCAGACACCGGCCAACAAGGGCAATATATGCGATTACGGACAGCAGCAGGCGACGCAGTACGAGCTAAACATCCCAGGATCGGTAGGATAAAGGGCTTGAGAATGTAGGCAGGCTGACCAGGGGAGGTGTGGTGGTGGCTTATCCAAGGTCCTCCAGCTGGGGAGGGAGTCTTGCAGTTGGACACACCCTATGGCGAAGTGCCTCCGTCTTTGCTTTTTCTGAACGATCGAACCAGGCAGTTAGAGTCGTTGACGGGTGTTTTCATCTCAGCAGCACGGGCAGCAGAGGAGTTGTCCGCAGCAAAGACGCAGAGCGAGGACGAAGATGTCGATGTTGGTCAATAATATTTTTTTGGAGTTAATCAGCGAAGACGAGGCGGACGACGTCACCAGCTGGTCAGGTACTACTGCCACGCGCCACGGCCGCCCCCACATGGACCCCTGCTGACCGTGCAGATGCCACGCACTATGTCTTAGTGTAAGGTTTATTTCCACGCAGAGCTTGGGGTACTATATAAAGGATGCACTTGGTTACTTGACTCTTTCTCTGCTTGTATTTAATTATTTATAGACGAAAGGCATTTAGACGGTTGGATGGAGTGCGCTCTAAGCCTCAAAGTCAGAGATGCCTTCTTACCCGTCATGTTGGCCATTGGATGCATGGGTATCCGGGTGTCACCAACAGCTACAGGGTCAAGGAGACAAAGGCACAGGGCGTGCATATTTGACGGCAGCAGGTCTCAAGGTCTAGGCAAGACACTAGAAGAAACATATGGAGAGGGCATAAAACACCCGATAGATAAATAAGGCTACTGGTAGACACCTATGGTTTACGGATATAGGGGGTATCTCGTAAAAGGAACTCTATAGAAGGGCAATAGTATTACATATATCATCTATATAACCGGCCTCTATGTCACCATTACTCCAATTCTAAACCTGATGCTGCCAGCCCCCATCTAGTAAACCCACGGTAGAATCCTCCATTTGACAATAGCCTTGTATCTATTCCAGTCATCACCGTACTTCTTAAAGCATGCCCCGTCATCTCTTCGTTCACGATGCATTAGTAAGATAGCAAAGTAAAGCACGTAAAAGTACGTAAAAACAATACCCCAGCCCTTGGCTTCTCCCTGAACCACCTCCCTGCCATCCAACATAGTAAAAGCCTGTGCAGCCGCAGCAGCACTCCCGGCCGGCAAGATCATGTAACCAGCTAACCCGGTAGGCCAGCTAAAGGGAGAAGCCTGCAACCAGTCACCAAAATAGTTGATATGGCGGGATACTCCCCACCATCCAGATGTCAACAGCCTGGTTCCTCGCTTTGTTTGGATGTAAGAGAGGCCGGCCACACTTGGGTCGTCCGGTCGTGTGCGGAAGACGTTCTTTTGAGTGTTTGATGCTCGGAAGATGTACAGGCCTAGAGCAAACACGGCACTGACAATTGCGACACCTGTCCAACCAAGATGTACGGGATAGACAGAGAGATAGCGGCACTGGGTGGAGTATAGGAAAGGAACCCAAACAATGTCGCCGAAGGTAAGCATAAATCCAAGTCCGTCTGTGGTAATGTCCATCATAGTCAAGACGCTAGGCTCCTTGTGCTGGCCGTCTAGAGCATAGTATGTCTGTACAAAGGCAGTAAAAACGATACTATCAGACAGACGGCCATAAGTGCGGTATTGCTTTGCCACAAACGCGAGGTCGAGTAAGGCCCAGCCGGTAAGACCGGGCCGTATCTCTAGCCATGTCTTGAGGTCAACTTCGCCAAAGATGGGCAGAGTGACACGGGGGTTCAACTCGCGGCCGATATAGAAGTCATATATGGTATTGCCCGTATTTCCACGGATAGCCAGCTCGCGTAAGTCCTTATTGGGATAGTTGATATCCACGCTGAAGCTGTTGAGATAGACATAGACAGAGATTGCATAGGCTATCACAATGTTTGCTGTGAGTAGCTGAATGTAGTTGTCTGTGATATACGTCCAGACGAAGAAATTGGCGCCCTGGAAGTATGTTCCAACGGCGCAGACAGCCAAATGCACAATACTTGATGAGAATGCTGCAATGCAATATTCCCCATCAGCTCTGATCATCGCATACAATTGAGACAATTACTCACCATTAAAGCGGTAGTCCAGTGCTTTCCCATGGTGAACGAGCTTCGTCCCCTTGACCTCCTGTGCAGGCAGGACCTTCCACAGCATCAAGCTGACCAGATAATAGCCCAGCATAACAGCAGTAACCTTCCAGCTGAAAAGGTCCCAGATGCCACCAGCCGGCCATCCGCTCTCCAGCTTGAACTGCTCCCAGGTAAAATTCTTTGGATACAAGAGTGACGGCACCGGACAGCCAGTCACATCATTACACCCAAATGCAAAGAAGAGCAGAAGCACCGGAAGGCCAAATGTTATGGCAGCTGCACCCAGTCTGCAGTTATCCAAGTCAGTCAACCTGACAAAAATCATGAAAACATATCCATGCGTAGGGGAAAACTTACGGACCACCAAAGTCATACTTCTTCTCCGCAGGCGAGGCTGTCATCTTGAGGTCAGGGGTATGTTCAAATTATCCTGATCTCGTTGGTCAAAGGCGAAGAAGATTTTGTTCCTGGCGGCCCAGGTTTATTTAAATATTTAAATAGGGGCTTTTTCTAGGCTTCTTTTTATTTGATGGCGCCAGACGGAAGCAGCTGGCTCCGGTGGCCATTACGTATCTCAATAGTCGATCCGGCAAAGACGATGAGAGAGATCAAGCTAGAATCACAGACATGGAACTAGGCAGATATCTTTCTAGCTTGGTAGGTCGGTAGGTACCTAGTTAGATAGTTACTGTTACTTTTGTTACGGCAGGGTAAGAGTTTATGCGTGCCCCTTTTTGGTGCGCCAGGTAGTATTCAACCGCCTCAGGACCAAGGTGAAGGGATGGACATTGTGTAGGCTTAAGTACTTGTAGAAACCTTTTTGACCCTATTTCGAATGTAGGCTACGAATTATTTCAGTCTTATTTCTCAGCGCGACATCCGTGACTCTCTTGGCGGGCTGGTGGATGGTTGAAAAATATCAAAATCTCCTGGAGCCGCTGGATGAACTTTGGCAGCCCACCTGAACCCGGTCAACTCGGTGGGATAACCGCTTATCTGCGATTTGACAAATTTCCAGTGCACGACAGCCTATTGCTCTGGGATTATCCTGTGCTGTCAAGATGTGGTACGTTCTATACTCGATACTGCTCGCTTGGGTATTAGACAGTCAGCTAAGGTGCATGCTTGATATAGCAAACACGTCCTTAACGCTCAAGTCGCGGTTCGATCGCCATGCTGTAAGCTCGCTGGATAAACAGATAGACGGGGAGATACCATGCTTATATTTTTAGGCCGTAAATGGTTCGACTGTGCCGACTGTCACAGAGAGCAGGAAAATCATCAACTGCTCCCCTCCACAGAAATGGTGAGCCGAAGATACCAAACTAGAAGGAGGTCCAGGCACATCTAACGACGACCTTAGACTCTTGCTTGCAAGAAGTGCAAGAAGTGCTTCAGAAAGGATGCCGCTGAGTTTGATGAAAGGTGTGTTCCGTCAATTTTTGGCCCTGTTTGGGATTATCTGTCTGACATTTTGGCCGGCCATAGTGACGAGTACTGCCCACATTGCGATAATCATTTCGTCATAGACGCCCTTACGCCGAAACCAGCAGTGAAAGTGGAAGGGGAGGACCCACGAAAGGACTCAAGAATGTTGAAGGATGAGAGAGTAAGGACAGACGCAGAACGGTCGATATTCGATGTCAGGGATGCGCCAAATAGGCTTGGATAGAGGGCGTGTGATGATTTACGAAGTACACGACGAACGCACTTCCTTTCATGGGGAGAGACAATAATTTTATACCATATAAGAGCAAGCATAAATTAAGAAGAGTATCTTTTTTTCTTTATAAAAGTGTAATGATCGTCTTGATATTTGTTTACTCCTCAACTCCATAGCTAGCTACCGCTTCAGCTAGAGGAGCCTTCGCCAGACTGTCTAGGCAATAAGGTGGCAGTTCCGGTGCCGGGTGTCCTGCCAGTCTTCTTCTTGGCTGCCTCTTCCTGCTTCTCGGCTTCTATGCTCTTGACGTGAGCCTCGATCTCGTCGTTGGGGAGGAGCTCTATGGGCTGTCCTGGGGCCATGATGGCAATCTCGATATTCTTCGCTCCCGTCTGCACAACCTCGAGTAGAGATTTGATAGTAAGCTGAATAGTAGCCTCCCGGTCCATACCGTCTTTGTGGTTTCGCTCTAGGAATTCCCTAACGGTTTTGCTCGATCGGCCGATGGCGTTGGCTTTCCTAAACCGGGGTGTTAGCTAATTGCCCATCGTCTATTTTTCTTGTATGGTCGTCAACGCACCATGCAGAGTATATGCCGGAGGGCTCTGTCTGGTAGAGTCGGGGAGTCTTGTCGCCGTTATCGAAGCCAACTATCAATGTGCTGATTCCGAACGGACGGACACCACCACTCTGGGTGTATCGTTGTTGGACACCAGCAACATATTTAGTAATATACTCAATCGTCACTGGATCTTCAACGGTAAGTCGGTGTGATTGAGCTTCTACTCTAGCTTTATCGACCAATATTCTAGCGTCGGCGTTTAGGCCAGCAAATGCAAGGCAAACGTGGTTATCGATGAGACCGATTTTCGAAGGCGTAATTCGTGTATCTTGTAGCTTCATCGCCGAACGCTTCTCACAGCCGAGCACCACGATACCTTCACCCTTCACTCCAACGGCGCAAGTGCCTATTCGGTGTCAGTTTGGCGGGACTTGACCACAAGGTTATGGGTGGAGGGAGTATTGTTTACCTCGCTTGACAGCCTCCAAGGCATACTCTACTTGAAAGACGTGTCCATCGGGACTGTAATAATATATTAGACACGAAGAAATCCACTATAAACACGGGTGCAGCAATACCTGAAGACTGTAATGCCGATGTTAGCGAGCAGTGATTTGACGCTGGATAGTGATGTACCTACCTGAAAGAGCTCTGTCGTATCCTGAAGCCATGTTGAGCTTTTAAATTGGCCACTACTCGAAATTAAAAGTCGGTAACAGAAGGATATTAACAGGCAAGAAGAATATCCTGGCTTGTTGGGCGGAAGGTAGGCTGCTTTGTTGGTGGGTGAGCTTTCACAGCGGACATACGTTATGGTTGACGTGAGTTGCGGGTGCCTTGAAGCTCCGTCCAAGCAATCCGCGCGCCAAGATAAGCGCGCGGCTTAGGCGGGCTAACAAGCTACTTATTGATTTACACCACGACTCTCTCTATCGTCACCCTCTACGCAATGGGAAGGTCACTGGTCTATTTTCTCATGGACGTACTGGGCATTATAAATAGGATATTGACTGGTACTAGCTCTTCCGCCCCAAATGTGGACAAGCTATAATCATACGAAATTATTGGTGAAAATGGGCTAATATATTGGAACGGACTTTTCATGTCGTGAGTAACTTACTAGTTACTTAACTAATTAATCTCCCACTAACATAACTAATAGCATTAATTATCCCAAATAAATATTGACATTAACTAGTCAATTAACCTCTCGGCAGATATCACTTTCCTTTTTGAATGGCCGGTGATATTTTTGGCTTTTATTCATGGATTCAACTTAACCGCATACAAATCCCGGTGGCAACTCTTCCTGGCATTAAAGACGATAACTACTATTGGACAAGGGCATCGAGCTAGGCTGCAATGGAATTTCAACCACTTTAGTTCACACAGATTCAGCACTTTGTTTGCCCACCAGTCCTCTCTTTACAGGCTAATTCAGAGCTAATATTTACTTGCTAGACGTGCGCCCACTAGCTACTAGGAGAGGAGCGGATGAATTATGTATCTAGAAGCCGCCGGTCAGTCAAGCGGAGATGCGGATGGAAGATGCAAGAAGAGCAAGTCCTGCAGGGACTGATTACTCAACGACAAAATTCGCGCCAACTTCATGGATAATATCAACGTCATTGGCCTCGGCCAGCGATCGCAAGGTTCTCCATCATACTCAAGGTGCGCAAATGCATGCAAGTGTGGGGTAACCAATTTTATGGCAGTTTCTTTTTGGCACAAGTGAGGGGCTTCGGTATAGCTTACCGTGCATAAAAGCAGTCATATCTGCCACTCAATCTCAGGTCCTCTAGATATACTCTGAAATTCTCCGTACAAGGAACTCACTGGAATACGCAATAAGAAATGGCAAGTAAGGTTACTTTCACACTTAACTCTGGGTATAAGATACCGGCAGTGGGCTTAGGAACATGGGTTAGTATAAGCATTTCCGACACAGCCGGAAGAACAATTTGGCTAAATTATTCCAATTGGTATATGCTAATACATGATCGACAGCAATCTAAACCACACGAAGTTGAGAAAGCAGTTGAGGTAGCGCTCAAGGCAGGATATAGGCACATTGATGGCGCATTTGCCTATAGGAACGAAACTGAGGTTGGCCTGGGGTTGAAGAACTCTGGAGTTCCCCGCGAGGAAGTTTTCTTGACCTCTAAATTATGGAATACCCACCACCGACCTGAATTTGTTGAAGCTGCATGTGATAAAACTCTTAAAGACCTTGGAGTTGACTATTTGGATCTTTACTTGATCCACTGGCCTGTTGCTTTTGTTCCCGGAGAAGCGGCATTTCCAAAGGATACAGAAACAGGCCAACTTCTCCTGGATGCCAAAGTGACCTTGAAGGATACATGGAGGGCCATGGAATCCCTAGTCAAGAAGGGCAAAGTCAGAAGCATCGGTGTTAGCAACTTTAGCAAGCAGAGAATCGAGGAACTACTTTCCTAGTGAGTTTCTCGAATAGCATGATTGTCACATGCTGCCTTTTCCTATACAGGTCTAACGAGGACGGCAGCGCCGAAATCCCTCCAGCAGTGGATCAGGTGGAGGCACACCCTTATTTTCAACAGGATGACTTGAGGAAATACTTGTCCGAAAAAAATATACTGTTGGAAGCATACAGCCCCTTAGGGAACAACCTTCACAACATGCCTAGGTATGATACCACTCTGATTGGACAAGCCTTCAATGGGTAAAAACTAAAGGTGTTCTAGAGCAATGGACGATGAAAAGATTCAAAAGATTGCAGAAGCAAACGGGGTGAGCTCTGCTCGAGTCCTGATTGCATGGCATGTCCAACGAGGCACCGCAGTCCTGCCCAAAAGTGTTACGCCTGAAAGGATTATCGACAACTTCAAAGGTTGGTTGACTATCCCTCATTCCCCTTTTGTTACTAACGCAATTTATGATGGTTTCTAACTGATATACAGACTTTGAGCTATCGCAATCCGCAATGGACGAAATTAATGCTCTTGATCGTAACGCCCGAGCAAGCCAGCCTCTCTTCTGGGGAGTAGACATATTTGGTGAAAAAGGTGACGAGTACGTCAAAGAAGTTGCAAAGAAGAGGGGCCTTGAGTATATTGCTAGTTTAAAGGCGTAAAATGCACGCATAACTACGCACTTGAGGTTGAATTGGGCCCAATTTGATGGATGGATTGTACACTCTCTATGCTGCATATCATTGGATGAATGTGAGCTTTAACGACTTGCAACATTTGAAGACCTGAATATAGGGATGGTAACGATAACTAGCTCTGAAAAGCTATTAACCAGTACTATCAATAAGTGCTGCTTCAAAGCTCCAACCAACAACGCCGATACAACGTTTCATTTCTCTGTTATAAGTGTGGCAGTAGTGGAAAGGGATAATTGATCAAGCCGCTCTGGACAGGGTGAATGTTGGCCGGAGATTTTATTCTCCATCTGAACCAAGGACAGGAGCTTAAAAAAAAAAAGAGCTACAAACGCCGGAAGGAGAAGATCCAAATTCTAAGGAGACCTGGCTTCCTTGCTGTGCGAGGTATGCAGAAATCAGTTCTCTCCTGTAGCTTAAGAGTTATTACTCGTGTCGATGACGTCGACTTCATTCTCGTTCTTCATCACATAACGACGTTTTTCCCATAACAGCATGCGTACCTCAGTTGCTCTTGCGCCGGGAAACCGCAGAAGAAGGAACCTTGCCAGCATTACTTCGATTAACCATTGTATATACAACACCATATATCATACCGTGTTTCATCAAAGGCATTTCAAATCACAATGCGGTTTCTCATGAACCTGCGACGTTCCTCTATTCTGATACGTCGAAGGTTATCTTTCTGCTGGGTTCAACGGAGCAAGGCACAGTTTTCAAGCACAGCAGAACTAACCAGCGTCCACGATGTCAACCACAGCTTTTACAACTATACATCCGGAAGATGGCTGTGAGTTTTGAAAGAGAGTAGTCTTCGGCTTTAGTTATGGGTAAATCTAGTACTGACTCACCCGATTTTTCAGGTATAATGAAGGCAAGCGGTTCCATGAGCGTCATCTATTCTTCGATGTCGATAAACTCTTGGACATCATTGCCAAATCCGTGAATCAGAGCAGTCAAAATGTCGTCAGGCTCGCAAAAATCGCAGAGGGCGGATCTTACCGTGTATTTGAGGCTACATTCAAGAATGGGCAAGAGGTCATTGCCCGTTTGCCATACCCATCCACCTTACCTCACACCTACGGTGTAGCTAGTGAGGTTGCCACAATTGAATACCTTCGACTCCAAGGAATCCCTATACCTAAGGTTTTGGCGTGGAATAGTTCCTCCAATCCACTAGGAGCAGAGTACGTCGTAATGGAGAAAGCCAAGGGGGGGGAACTAGAAACCGCATGGTATTCTATAGGGTTTGATGAACGGAAAACAGTCGTGAAAAAGCTTGTTGCCATTGAAAGTCACCTTTTTAAGATCAAGCTCCCCGCGTTTGGTAGTCTTTATCATACAGACTCGTTACCGCATGGCACCGATATGGTTGTTCTCCCTGACAATAATGCTTTTTGTGTTGGACCTTCTGTAGAGCTCCTATGGTGGTATCATAAGCGCGAGGAACTGAAAACAAACAGAGGCCCTTGTATGATTTCTCCGTGTATGCTGATAAAACTATCATATAGCTAACATGGCGTAGGGAAGTCTCCTGCTGAATTGTTAAAGTCTATTGGACTTCGAGAAATACAATGGCTTCGACTCTTTGGGGAGCCACGATACCCTCGAGAGGCCTTATACAGGGAGCTCTATGATAATAAGAAAGTCAACCCAGAGGTACAAATCCGCAACCTCGAAGATTTCCTTTCAGTGGCTCCATATATAATTCCCTCTCAGGAATTTCTTAACGAGCCCACCATTCGTCACCCCGACTTGTCACCAAACAATATCTTCATGACTGAAACTGGAGAAATCAGCAGCATCATTGATTGGGAACGCACTTCGATTCTTCCTCTGTTCATCCAAGCGAAGATTCCAAAGCACTTTCAGAATTATGGAGACGAGGATTCGGAGAACTTCAATTATCCAGAGTTAAGGAAAGACTTTGACTCGCTGGCTGACGACGAAAAAGAGCTGGAGCAGGAGATCTATAGAAAGAGGCAAACTCACTATTATTACCTTGGCTTTACGAGCCGCTATAATGAGAACCATTTTCGCGCGATGGCAAGCTACAGCGGTGTGATGCGGAGCCGGCCATATGATGTTGCTAATCGCCCATGGGAAGGCGATAGTACAACGCTGAAAGCAACTCTCATCAATATGGCTTCCTACTGGCCAGGAATTGCAAGTGCCGATATGAAAGACACTCAGTACCCTTTGCAATATTCACCAGAAGAGGCCAAAAAATGTCTTGACATCGATGCAGAACAAAAGACCGCGAACTCTCAAATGCAAAATATTAGAGATGCTGTTGGTATCAATGTGGACGGCTGGGTACCAAACGAAATGTATGAGGAAGCAACGGAGCGAATGGCAAACATCAAAGCGCATATGCTGGAGATTTCTGAGACAGAAGAGGATCGAGAAGACCTCTTGCAGAATTGGCCATTTCAGGATCATGAAGAGATAGATTAGGAGCCTGTGACCTCCTCTAGTTGGATTGTAATAGAGAGCCTCCGGTACGACAACAATGGGCTAAAAGTACCAAAGGCATATGTATTGAAATCAGAAACAGCCAGCTTGCAAGAAATGTACAGCATTATGTCCAAACCCACAAGCCCTTCTATAAATGGTTTTCTGGCGGGGCTGAATTCGTCAAGGAGATCCCGAGGGGCAGCAGCGGGAAGATTCTCGGGAGGTCTAGGTATTCAAAGGGAAGAGGGCAAACCAAGCAGGTAAGTAGTAGCAAGTTAACGCACACACGCACACAGGCTGTACCCAGTGTGCCCATTTCGACCTGCTAGTTATCATGCCAATGTCAAGCTTGGAATTGCGTGTTGATAGCTAAAAGAAATCTACGACGTCAAATTAAGAATAAAGAGAAAAAGCCTCAAGCTCCAGCCCGATCACGGGATTTATTTCCGAGGTCGGCATTTTTGCTTCTCTGTATCTCAACAACTTCAGCCAACACGGTCAAGCCATCAAATTACGCTCCTTGCCATATTGCGGGAGTCTTCGGCGATGTCGTGTTCAAGTAGGCTGTCATACGCTCTCCGTCGTGCTGGGACGACTGGAGCTCGAACCACTTTCGCCAATTACCCTGCCCTTCGCCCTGCCATCGCCCATTTCTCTTCATCCGCAAGCCGGCGTCTTCCCGAAACTGCCAGTGCGCCGACCGCGAAGTCAACAAAATATACTACCGATGCATACCCAAAGTTGAGCCGAAACCCGAACTTTGCGCAATTGACCGGAGAACATGTTCAGTATTTCAAGGGGCTGTTGGGAGAAGGCTCGGCTGTGATAGATGGAGTAACGACCGACGCAACAGACGATATAGAACCCTTCAACCGTGACTGGATGAAAAAGTACAGAGGACACACAAAACTAGTGCTGAAACCGAAGACGACGGAGGAAGTGAGCAAGATACTTCAATACTGCAATTCTCAGAAGCTCGCTATTGTGCCTCAGGGCGGAAATACAGGCTTAGTGGGAGGGTCGGTCCCTGTGTTTGACGAGATTGTTGTGAACCTTTCTCGCATGAACAACATTCGATCTTTTGACGAGAACTCTGGCGTTTTGGCTGTGGATGCTGGAGTAATACTGGAAGTTGCTGATAACTACCTGGCGGAGAGAAAGCACATATTCCCTCTTGATCTAGGTGCGAAGGGTTCATGTCAAATTGGCGGCAACGTTGCTACGAATGCTGGAGGTCTACGTTTACTCCGGTATGGAAGCTTACATGGGAATGTCCTTGGAATTGAGGCGGTTTTACCAGACGGAACTATCATGGAAGACATGTCCTTGCTGAGGAAGAACAACACCGGATATGATTTAAAACACTTGTTTATCGGAGGCGAGGGGACGATAGGAATTATAACAGGCGTTTCCATAATATGTCCTCAACGGCCAAAAGCAACAAACGTCGCTTTCTTTGGATTAGAAAGCTTTGAACACGTTCGCAAGGCCTTCCTGGAAGCCAAGGGCCAGCTGTCAGAGATCCTATCTGCGTTCGAGCTGATGGATGGACAAAGTCAAAGTATTGTCCGTCAGGTTACGGGTCTAAAACACCCCCTCGAAGGGTCATATCCGTTTTACTGCTTGGTTGAGACAAGCGGTTCAAATGGCGAACATGACAATGCAAAGCTCGAGGCTTTCCTAGAACACGTCATGGGAGAGTCTATTGTTGCAGATGGTGTTTTGGCCCAGGATGAGTCACAGGCACAAGCTCTATGGCGCTGGAGAGAAGGTGTCACAGAGTCGCTCAGTCACCTTGGTGGCACGTACAAGTACGACGTGTCGATACCACTAACAGAATTGTACCAGCTTGTCGAAGACACGCGAGACCGTCTCTCCAAAGCCCGTCTCATTGGAAATGATGACAGTTTCCCGGTTCATGAGGTTGTTGGTTATGGACACATGGGCGATTCCAACCTTCACCTGAATGTTGCTGTGCGCCAGTATAGCAAGGAAGTCGAGAAGGCGATCGAACCCTGGGTATATGAATGGATCGCGAAGCGTAATGGCAGCATTAGCGCAGAACACGGCCTAGGGATCGCAAAGAAGGAATATATTGGGTATAGCAAGAATGAGGCGATGATAAAGCTAATGCAGCAGCTCAAGAAGCTATACGATCCAGTGAGTCGCTCCTTTTTCCTCTCCGTTTGCTTTGATTTATCTAACAATGCAAATGTAGAACGGAATAATGAACCCATATAAATATATTTAGCCAGCCGTCTCATGGCCTGCTACCACCTGATCTATAGACACCATCATCTCCCCGCGAAAACATCTCGTATATCTAATCACAATAGCAGCACCCTTGCATCGAAAATCCCGTCCCTTGCATAGTAGAAGTAAAAAAAAGCAATATACTAGAAGTCACGTGCCAAATATCCCAAACTCTGCGTCTGTTATTTTTTTAAGTTGCGGCTGTTGCCATAGACGACGCATGTTGACGACCTTGAGGAAGATATGCAGAAAAATTAGCATTCTTCGCCTTCATTAAGGGCATATCAAGCTGCAGCTCCCGCGGGACAGAGACGTGGACACCACCCGCGCGATAACGGTGTTCACTGCTTTGAGTGCTTGCGAGCCGTGATTTCCTCCTTCCGCTGAGCCAACGACAATTAAAAGGGGGCGGAGAGCGCTCGCTTCTCACAGCAATGGCGGACGAAAGTGGGATGGCAGCGAAGTACCAGATGCTGGAGGAGCTTGGAAGTATGCATACACTGGCAGGTTACTATTGATAATATCTCGAACCCTGCTAACGACATCGGTTACTGCTAGGTGGGAGCTTCGGGACTGTTTACAAAGCAATTGACAGAGCGACAGGCGAGATCGTTGCTATCAAACACGTATGCTGTGAATTGGAGCCCTTGAATTTACGAAGTCATGGTTAACAGGTGTTTGTTTGCCTTAGATTGACCTCGAGTCCAGCGATGATGATATCCAAGAAATTCAACAGGAGATTACCGTTCTGTCGACCTGCGCCAGTCCTTACGTCACGCAATATAAGACCAGTTTCCTCCGAGGATACAAATTATGGATTGTAATGGAATATTTGGGAGGGGGGTCTTGCCTGGATCTGGTAAAGATATCTTTCCTCCCATACTATATAGAAGTTATGTGATCCTAACATGCATGAAGCTCAAACCAGGCGTGTTTAACGAAGCCCACATCGCAATCGTCTGCCGTGAATTGCTTCTCGGCTTAGACTACCTCCATCAAGAGGGCAAGATCCATCGCGACATCAAGGCAGCGAATGTCCTTCTTTCACATACCGGGAAGGTGAAGCTAGCAGATTTTGGAGTTGCTGCCCAACTCACCAACATCAAATCACAACGCAACACTTTTGTCGGAACCCCGTTTTGGATGGCACCGGAGGTCATTCAACAAGCTGGATACGACTTCAAAGCTGACATCTGGTCCCTTGGTATTACGGCAATGGAAATGATAAACGGCGAGCCCCCGCATGCCAGTACACATCCGATGAAGGTATTGTTCCTGATACCAAAGGCATCGGCCCCACGGCTAGAAGGTGCAGCCTACAGCTGGCAACTCAAAGATTTCATTGCACAATGTCTTGAGAAAGATCCGGATAAGCGCCCTACCGCGAAGGAGCTCCTGAAACATAAGTTTATCCGTAGCGCTGGCAAGACCGAGGCTCTTCAAGAGCTCATACAACGGCGACAGGAATGGGAAGCTACAAAGGGCCTTGCAGCTAATATTAAATATTATGCGGAACCAATGTATGGAGTTGCCCTTCATAGTCATTATGTTCGAAATGCTAATGTCAAATGCAGGGATACGATCACAAATAAAAGTACGGATGATGATGCCTGGGTGTTCGACACAATAAAGCCTGGTGCGGCAACTCCGTCAAAGGGCTTGCATATAAAGAATCAACCTTCAGTTCCGAACACAGAAGAGGCTTCCGAACCATTGGAATCTATGCACAATCTAACCTTGGAAAGTGAATTTTCTGGTCCAAAACCCGTCGCAAACTCAACCGTTCGTCGCACCCGCGGTACAGTAGCTAGGACGCCGTCGAAGCGCTCCACTAGACGCCGATCAAGTAGTGTCAAGCAACCTCTAGGTTTGGATATGACATTTGGGAACTCACCTTCGACCGTGAGACAATTCCGTCGAGTTTCCGATAGACAAAGCTCTCTTGACAATAATGCCGGGTTTGTTCCTGGGATGAATGAAAATTCTGTGCCTAAAACGCTATTCACCGAGCCCAACAGCAAAGAAGCAATCTTAGGTCGGAGAATGTATAACTCTGGCATTGGGCTTACCTGCCAGGAAGTTCTAGCAAATACCAGCGATCAAGAAAAGCGAGAGGCAATATCGCGACTAGCCGAAGCTTTCAGTGATCTCGAAATGATCGACCCTGAAGGGCTATATCACATTGTTAAATCCTCATTTGAGAAATTACAGGCGTAAGTAGCTCCCCTGTGTAACCACGTAAATACTCAAAAATTTACGATGCTAACCAGTTTCAGTGACCCAAAAATATCAACCGTGCTTCCAAAGCCAGCCCCAGAGACGCCACAAAAGCCAAAGCTGGTCCTTGCTCAGAACAATCCACATCTAAAAAGCCACAGACGACGGCAATCCGCTCAGGTTCAGTCAGAACACAACTGGAATTCCGGAAGCCCCATACCTGGCCAACACCCGGTTGGAATGGAGCATACTAAGCAGCTTGCCGATGTTCTATACACCCGCTGGACTGACGGGCTCCGAAACAGATGGCCTGCCGTATAATGCTATAATACCTCGCAACACTAGCCTTTGCGTTGTCCTAAATGTCACAGGCTGCGTACCTCCAGCATTTGTGTACATACATTGTACATTACCCGATCTTTTGTGTTTATTGTTTGGATCATGTTCGTGTTGCATTGCTTGTGATCTGTTCAGACTTGTTCGAGTCATATACTGGCGGCTGCCTTTGGAGTTTTCTTCTTTCCTTCGCTACTGATTGTTGGAGGCATCATTCATACCATTCATAAATGCGGCTTCATGACCTTGCAGGAACTGGAGTCCGTTTTTCCCTCTTCGATATTTGTTTCACTCGTTAGAGTTTCGGTAGCCTACCTTGGCTCTTTCTATCTTTTCCGGGCTCTTTGGTCAGCTTTCGACGCTGCTTATCAGATACAAATTGGCCTGGAAGACTTTTAGGTTCCTGATCTGTTACTGTTATAATTTTCGGTCCCTTTCACTATCGTTTTAGAGACTTGATGTCTTCCTGATCCGCCAGAATCTTGTACCATATTGTTGCCATGCTCAGAAACGGTGCCAGCTATGGGCTCCTGAAGACTGACGAGCTTGAAGATCTATTTATAAATAAATCCTCCGCAGCACATATGCGACCAACCGCTACATTTGATATGTAAAAACATTATTTTGATATCAAGAGAGGACCAACCGCCCTGGGACTAGCGACAATTTCGCTAAGACTTGTATGGAAAGAGTTGACTTAGGTAATCCCACATTAATTCTTATGACCTGTTCTCACTACCAAAGGATCCCTTGGGGCATTAGGCCTTTTTGTCCCTTGTGGTCCAACATGACCTCATACCTGCAGGACACGAAAGTCACGACATATCTTGTCCTCTGTCGATCTGTTTACCAACCTTAAACCTGGACGTCGCTCCCACGCGTCGACGCTGATTTCCCTTTGCGAACGCTTGCTTTGTTATCTTCAGAAACAAACGAGCAACGCACAAGTCAGAGCTTTACATCGTTTCCTTCGTTCTCCATGTAACAGCATCGAAGAACGATCGGCGGTTTTCTTTCACGATTCCCTCAAGTTGCTCGCAAGGATGTCTCGAACTCTGATGGATGAGGTGTTGGAATATTCCATTAGCTACGACTCGCACTCATTTACTCAAGGATTCCTTGGGGCATTTAGGCCTTTTTGTCCCTTGTGGTCCAACATGAAGCTTTTGTTGCCACCGGCCCCTCCAACGGTAAGTCTCGAATATTTAAAGTGGCACTCTTTGGCTCAGCTGGGCACTGACCTCTATTTCTTCCATCTAGCTCCTCTCCTCACATTTAACAGTGAGATCGACCGTAAATACCCATCATTATTCTTCTGGGTGCTCTCAATATAAATACTAATGACTCATACAGCCGTGAATTTCACGTTGATGGACGGATCTTGCCTTCCTCGCTCTCCAACAGAGAGTGAGCGTGCTGCATTATCCCAACTCTTCCCGTCGCAGCTTGGATTCGGCGTGGATGGTCCGTTCCTTGTGGTCTATGTAAAGGAGCTGCCGGCCAAGCCCTGGCCTCGCTTTGTTGCCGGTCTTCTTCTATATCTCACGACGACGCCGTTCGCGTCCCCACTACCTGTAGGCAGCATAGGAATTGTCAGATGGAGTGCTCTTCGTGACCTTGACGCGACAAGGACCTCCTCTGAAGCGTTGTACCATGCGGTTATTGATTTCTTTGAAAACGAGGGAGTCCAAATCCAGGAAATCCAGTGGTTTTTTGGCTGCTGGAGGATTGTCTTGCCTGAAAACACAGAAATATCCAAACTTCCAGGAAAACTTTGTCGTGTTGCTGCATTCTACTTCTCCAAAGGTACCAGTCATAATGTTCCCCGATCCGAGCTCGCACGACGCACTAAGCAGCCAGCATGACTCCATTTCCCGATGAGAACTGCAGGCCGAGAAGATGGGTCAAGCAAGGATGGGTGTGGTTTGGTCAAGATCTGGATGATACTCCTTCTGCTAGCAGCTATGGATCAGCAATACGGAACCCAGAAAGGGCTGCCATACGACCTTTCAGATACCTAGATACGTAAGTGACGGCAATATAGGAATTGGAGCCATGGCGTACAAACTTGTCACAAGATAACTTTACACTTCCTACCGTTCACCTCTTTGGTTGAATGGCATAGTTTTGACGGAGCTCTTATAGAGTCTTATTCGTTTTAGACTAATGATCCACAGGCACTATTCTAGATATAGTGTCTACACCAAACGTGTGGCTATAACTACTTTAATTGACTTCATTGGTTATGAGAGCAAAACATCAAACATAACATCTCCGGGAATGCAAAAGCGAAACATTGCCAACGCACAATACCCCTACCATTCACACGTCCCTCTTTATTGTTATGGCGGAAACTTGTCATCTCCCGGTTCTTGAGTTATGGTAAACTGCTGGCTAGGTAACCTCTTATAAGGCTGCAATTTCAACTCAGCGTTTTCAGTCTTGTTGTTCCGTTCGATGGTCCAAGCTAATCGTTCTCCCGGGTTTGGAGTCTCAAGAGAGATGAGATAGGAGATATCCCCATCCGTTTCAACATCGAATATTGATGGGGCATAGCCATCATCTTGAGGCACCGTTGCAGATTCCCCAGCTACATGGTTTTGGAAGCGGATCCACCAAATGATATTCAGTTCGTACTGTTGCCTTCCTCGGAAACAATGCCAGTTGTGAGCCCCTTTAGATACTGGATGATCTGTCCAATGTCTATAGAAACTGCCTCTCTCGAATTCCACGGCACCGGTGTCGGCATTGAGAGTGAGATTCAATCCATATTGCTTGCTGGTAATGAGAGTATATAGTTTTGGAGACTGCGCGGAAACGCTAGCTGTGAAAGCACAGGTAGTAGCAATAACAAATAGTAAGAATTGCATTTCGGCTTGCGTAGAATTATTGACTTTGAGATAAAAGACGGGTAACTATTGTTGGTGTGCAGATAAATGAGAGGGCAATGGCATTTATAACTAGAATCGGATATCGGCAACGTGATAAACTGTGACTGCTGTCCAAAATTACCGTATCTATCCATACTCAACTTACCAGCTTTGCATGAATTCTGTTAGCTGGTTGCCATGACTAGTCAATTTCATTGATTCCCCGTGCATATACGGCCATGGATGGAGCTAAATGTTTAATTATGAACTCGGTTGAAGGAAGTTATTCTTGATATCTGCTCCTCGGAAATCTTTCATTCCGCGGCCCACATTCCTCCCTTCGTATTATCTTCAAATATAGTAAAGAGGCTTACATACAAGCAGTAAACACACTGACAAGGTCTAGGCGTTTGCCTCCTTAATACGCTACTAGAAAGATCTCTCTTTTATGAACAGCCTTTCTTTATAACTCGTTGTTAATACAGCTAACTAAAGTTTTAAAAACAGCTGCAGGAGAAATTCGTGTTTCATTTCATGTATTTTGGTTGTAGTAAACATTCGGTGATATCTTTTAATTCCCCATAACCCAGACATTGCTGCAAGTAAGATTTTAGTTTTCACAGCTGTCGACATTGATAAAGAGCTTTAAACAATAGCACTTCCTTCTCTACCCGAACCGGATGATTGCAAAAGGATATCCGGTCATGCATTAATTCCAATAGGATAATATATTTTTGGAGTTTCAAATGTCTTACAAGGCAAGAGTAGTCATGCATTGAGTAATGCCGGGTCGGGTAGCGAGGGTGTAATTTGAAATCCGACTTATCCACTTCGTAATACATGTTTATTGATCAATACAATAAGGGGATCATTGATGATGGGTTTTCCATTCTCTTGCCCCTCGTTGCTGGCTCTATAAATCTCATGCCATTTTGTCTTCTACATTGCGTACTATATCACAGTTTCTACTGAGGAGATTTGTCAATTTAGAACTCAACCTTCAATTCTCATATTTCAACATGCATCTGATCTCTATTATTTTGCTCTCTCTCTTCACCTGCCGGCCAATCCTGGCCCAGATAGTTATTACCTACTTTATCGAGCATCCTTTAAACACCACATTTACTATTTATGACGACTTCAATGGAGACATTCTTGGTATTGGAGCTGGTGACGATGGGGCCCTAGAGGTTCAACCAAACTCAACAACACGCTGGCATTTCGAGCGAATTTTCGACTACAACTACATCATCAAGGAGAGCAACAGCAACAGATACATACATATTCCCGACCCAAAACTCGGATCAATCGCCACAGTAAGCGAGACAGCGGCGACTGTGATTGACCCAGCCATATATAGAAATGCCCAATTTAAATTCTACGTCCACCGCGAAGGCCCGGGACTGTTCTTCACTGTGGAACCCTTTAGCACTGAACAGCCAAATCGCCTTGTTATCAAGCTTCGAGAAAGAGGGGGTGGCGATCGACAAGACTTTACCTTCATCAAACTTCCAAAAATAGCAGCTAGGGACGAAGGTGCAATGTGAGGAAACTTAGCACCAAGGGCGCGGCTTCAGAAATAAAAGGATGGAAGGGATTGTACTTAGGCAAGGAGTAGAGGGTAGATAGACACTCATGACAAAATTGTAACTACCTCCAAGATTTAGGACCTATAAATGAATCTCACCACAACATCCTTCTTGGCCGAGAACTGATCTACACTTATACAAAAAGCAGCAATGTAACTCCAAGGAGGACCTTGTTCTCCTGCTTTTAACGACGGGGGAGCCATGTCTCGTGCAGACGGCGAAATAAAAAGTAAAAATTAAGCTTTACCGGGATGTTACAAGCGGAAGCAGGGGCCACAATTCTATTTTTGTTGGGAAATAGGCTTAGTCATAAACTACCTTATTCCAGCCTCAGGCAACAAGAGCCCCCTTAGACTTGGCGAGTGGGTGTGGTTTAAGTATGATGTTGTGAAAATAGTGAACAAATATTGACTCTCGCGGTGTCATTGCATCTAATATTTATGTGACATGATATGGAGATACAGCGAAAAGTACTTAAGCGGGCCATGAATTCTGAATCTAGAGATTCGTTAACTGTCGGAATATGCTAGTCAACCTAAGCGGAGTATAAGATTGTGTATCGCGATGGACGATATGAGTAATCGTAGCACAGTCCGCGTTTCCATCAAAGACGATTGCACTAATCGCTTTGTTTCGGGACCTTCTTCATGACGAAATCCTGCCGGGCTCTCCCAAGTGCTGGTTTACGTAGCTTCAGAACAGGGCGTTGGTCCGTTGCGCTGAGAGGTTCAATCGTCCAAAACAATGGCCCATCATTAGGGTTGGCATCCGTTGCATTGAGGTTGTAGATAACGTTAGGCCCTATCACGGCTTCGAATAATGTTGCAGTCTCATTGCTAACTGTGGCGACAGCGCCGTCCTTCAACGTTGGAAAATGTATAGATTTGTTGCTGTCTCTGACGCGTACAACATGCGTGTAGTCTTCAAGTTGCTGGAATTGCCATTGTTGACCACTGTTGGGTTTGACCTCAACAATTTCTCCAGCCGAGCCGGTGCCGATAGCTAGTGACTCGTGGTTAAAGTCGTCAAGGATGGTGAAGTTCGCACTCAGTGGAGTGTTCCTATATTCATAGAGTATTATGGTCTCCTCCAAATTGGCCTCAAGAAGGGAGTCCGTGTTTGAAGTCGCGGTTCTCGAGTCGATATAAACCTGCGCTGTTCCTCTAGACACTAAAGTGCATAGCAGAAGTGGATAAAGGAAATGCATCATAATAAGCATAAATAGGAAGAATGATTATATCCAAGGGACCTGTAAAATGGAAAAGGCAGAAACGTAGACTTTGCATGAAAGAAAGGTAGAGGTAGAGAAACGGGAGGAAGAGAGATTTAAGACTGAAAGATCATTACTCTCCTTTCTATCGACACAGGTCCCTTAGACTGTTCTGCTAGGACTGAGGAGTGTGGCCATTTAAACATTTGGTCAAGTCCCGCGCCAAGTAGCGATGATGTTACTGTGCTGGCAGATCCAGGTCAAAAGTGATATCGGGATTATCCCACAGGGTATAAACGGCCACTTCACGTACTCGGGACGGAGGTATGTTCCGCATTGTGTAAAACGACAGAAAAGAAAAAGAACCCAGGCAACTAACATGTATACTTTAGATCATCATGTGAGTTATCGTGGCCTTCGATATTCTCAAAGGCTCGGTAACAAGAATAGGCTAAAATCTCACTGCAGCCACAGCTGGGTATTTGAGGAGATTTTCCTGCTTCTTCTATAACTAGCAGGGTAACCCATGCCAGTTATCCGAATCGATACGGAACATGACTCGGGTCCGCGGAGATCGAAATCCACGACACACATACAACGCTGAGGTAGAAAAATTGTGTAAATGCCGGCACTCCAAACACAGGCTGTGCTTAATTAGTTAAGTCTAAGGGTATTCTTTCTTGACTATCCACCACTTCCGGCTGAAGGAAAGAAAAGAAGAAGAGATTAGGTTGATTCCTTATCGCTGCAACCTTCGCCCTGGGCTAATTAATGAGCCAATGTCTCTAACTGCAGATCAAAGCTTCGGCCTTTCAAAGTACTGACAAGCCGCATGCTGTGCATGACTCGGGGGAAATCAATCTCCCTTGCTCTGTTGTCGACTGGCCCCTGTCGACCAAATTAGAACACCTCCAATGCACGCTGAACATTGACGATGCCGATACCATCTGGAGGTAAATTGATAACACGAGGTTTCTTGATACCTATCATCGTCCCATCCTAGTAAATGCTGACGGCGGGATATGAGAATTTTTGTTCTGGATAAACGCGGCATGATGGCTCTTTTGCAAGGCGAGTATGGTGGCAACACTATATGCGAAGTACAATTAAATGTAATATGCAGTAACTATAGTTTACTGAGTTGAAACTTCTTTCAAGAGAATAGTAGGTAGGCTAGTTCTCATCGCACGACTCTATTAGGACCTGTTTTTGTGGTTGTCAGGGCAAGAGATTATAAAGTTTGTCGGTAAAGAGTATGATAAAGTGATGGGCATCAAGATTGTCCTGGTGAGGCTGCAAATTGCGCTTCAAAGTGTTGACGAGACCAGTTGAGTCTTTAAGTCCTCGGAAACCAGCGGCATAAAGAGAAACAGATACCCCTATGGTATCAGTAGAGTGACTCTCCTGCAATTAAGCCGTCTTGATCCAAAGATATCAAACATTAGCAGATGGAAGAGAGTGATTTGAATCCCTATATATAGACTAGCTATCGGTCAAGGCGTGTATACGAACGATCCGCTGTCCATACACACCGTACCAGGTAACATATCAGAAGAAGAAAAGTAAACGTATTATCATTACTTACTATTAGGGGGTCGTATCTATTTAAAGGACTAGGTATGCTTTTTGACGTACTGCTCCGGGTGATTAGTTTGTATAACGTATGAATGCATTGATTTTCAGTTTTCCGCTCTAATAGGACGGAACGGGTATCTTCTCCCAGTTTCTTTCTCCTTTCTTGTTGGCATCGTTGATGTCATCTTTCATGACAAACATTCGTCTTTGGCCGCAGAAACCCCCGGCCGCTGCCTTCCGTTCCAACATCTGGAACGAACCAGCTTGGTTCTCGTCGTCGCCTTGAACCCATACTTTCTCCCTGACCATTTGACCAGTCTTATGTAGCCTGCGAGGATTATATTCGGGATAACCAATTCTGCTCACGATCCACTGGAGGTTGGCAAATATTCGTTCATATCTGCGGAAGAAATTCAGCCATATCCATGTGTTCTCGGTGTATGCAACCCGAATGAAAGGGTTTATGTAGACTCCAGCCCCGCTTGATTGGAGAGAGGCAGTCTCCATATCTGCGAAGATGAGGCAACACTCAGCTGCCTCCCAAAAAGGCTCTGGTTCATGGCGAAATGTGAGGGCAAGCTCTGAGCGGTTTTCAGACGATTTCTGAAAGACCTCGGCGTCGAAAGAGACCATTCCTCCCCAGCAACTTCGGACTCGAACCGCGTCTTTCTCAGCAAGGACATC